ACCGCCACGCCTTGCAAAAACTACCGTCGATTCTTGTCTACGTGAACGTCCGCGTGTACGTTCCTCCGGTCGAAATTCTCTATCGACCCCTCGTACAGAGAGAGAAGAGCTTTTTAACGTACACCGGGCCGACAGGGCGGAGTCCTTCAAACATCGCTTTCTAACGTGCCAGGATGGCAACGAGGAGGGTGAATGCCGTGGCAAAACCACGGCGAAATATTTATAAACTTTGTCTTTCTTCCATTGAGAGGTCAATGTACACGGCTGAGGGCGTCTGTGAGCGAAAGTACAGCCGGACATGTACAAAGACGCTGAGGGATGATTGACGCGACGGGACCCTCTTCCGAGCTCACGTTAATCTTTTCCTACTTAATGCAACTTAACGATGTATACCTCGGAAATGGAGGAAAAAAGCGTCTGTAAGTTTTTACGAGAAGTGTACTCTCTTTTTATTTGAAAATACCTTTAATGGAACTTTAATGGAATAAAATCAATTTTGCAGAATTATACGAGGATTATTCTGACAATTCAAAATATATTTTTCAATTTTTTTCATAATACATATGCGCGTGCATATATATTTTAATAGATATATTATGATGAATGACTTTAATAATACATATATTATACTAAAGTACTTTCATACAGGATGTTTAAGATGTAGAATTATAAAAGAAATTCGCGATATTCACAAAATATTTGATAGGCGCTAAAATATATATATATATATATATATATATATCAATAAAGATTATAATGTATATATTTGAGAAGTTACATTACATGTCTTTAAAATATTCTTCACATATGTATATCTCGTGCTCTCTTATGTAGAACATTTTAGAGATATGATTTTACGGCAAGATGAAGTCTTGATGCGAATTTCCTTTTATCATGACATGATTAATAAATATAACGCGAAATGTTTTGTCTATTTAACGTAAATCACTTTTCGATTAACATATATATTTTATGACAATCGTATTCACCAATAAACCGAATGGAAATAATTTGAATATAGAGGCAACATATATATACATGGAATAAATTGAAATTTAGCTTCATGTATTTCTTATTTTTTTTTAAATGGCAAATTTCCAATAAGACAAAATAATGAAGGAGAGAGAAAGAGGAGCGTACCCCTCTTTAAGTATCGATACAACGTGTTGTCGCAAAGGACAAAGGACACTACGTTTGCACTCGCTGGCGCATCAATTCGCGGTCTAACTTTATTGCGCGCACATATCCTCCGTGTCGTTACGCTCCGATTTACAACCCCGACGTATCCCCGGGGCGAAGTAAATATTCGCTCGAGGAAGGAAATATTGTCCGCGGAATCGATAGATTTAAACCGGCGAAGGTTTTAAAAGTACTTCGAGGTGCGAGATCCGAGAGTTAAGGACCGGCCCGGGTGAGTTGCCGGTAATTTCCCAACGAACGTTTCCCTTCAGCATAACGTTTTATATCGCCGTGTTCATATCGCGCCGACGTTTCCCCGAGGTGAAATAAATTTTCGACGCATTCGGGGAGAAAGAGGTTCGCGTGCGTTCTTTCGGAAGCGGAGAATAGTACAAAAAGTCGACCGTGTGATGCGAGCCATTACGTATTCTTGTCGAAATCACGTTGCGATTCGGAGCACATTGCGGATTTTATTAATTTTCACATGGAACAGTAGTTTAATCGATCCACATACACAATTCTTCGGCCATTCGCTGCAAATTGTACGCTGAAAAGCGAGTCGGAGAAGGACGCGCGCGCGAGAATCCTCTCGTGTGAGAATCGTATAAATAATTTTTATGCGACTTCGACTTTTCGCGCAGTTCGACTTCCGCTGGTTGTACAGTTTTATCTCTCGCCGTGCTCCTTCGACATTTCCCCGAGGACATGTAAATTTGTACGGGAAAGAAAGACAACGCGTCGCGCGTCAATAACGCCGCACCGACCGAATAATTGGCTCATACTTGAGTGAAATCGGAAACTTTGAGCGGAAAACGCAAAGGAAAGGAGAAAGTTTACCATTACGACTCTTTGAGTCCGAGCGAGCGAAGAACGGTTGTTAAAAACTCTGTCGTTGTAATTTCATTGCATAATTTTTCGGTAGATATATCGCGTGTGTTATTTCATTCTAGTTATGTTTCTGCAACATTTCCCCGGGGCGGAGTAAATTTGAGAGATGGAAAGAAAGAAAATATTGTCTGCCTTCGTCGACCAGGCGGCAAAGAAGCAGTTTTGGGCGCACAAAGGGCTCACAAAATAGATCACCCTGTCGTATCCTCCAATGGGATATCACAAGCGTTCCATTTTAAAGTTCGCTCTTGTGCAACCTCATACCAATTTTGATCAAAACGTATGAATTATTGTTATTATTAGTCTATCATTATCCGCGTGTGACTTTATCTCTGCCTATAGAATGACGCTGGAACGCATAATTAATTTCATGTCCCATGAATTTAACGAAATCCAGGATGAATTCCGAAACTAGTAAATATTTACGAATAATTTTGTCCTATAAACGAGGTGTTAATTATGCAGACCGACACCGCTAACACGTTGAATAGATCTCGCTAATATGTCGGAAATCATACAACAGTACATAAATATGTACATACTATTCATCCGAAGCTTAAAACGCAAACAAGAACGTATAATAAAACAAGTAATTTTAATATTATCTTGAGAGATTTCAAAAGAAGATGAATATTTAATCGGCGAGAACGGCATTTGCGTGTGTCTACCAACGACAAATGTAAATTTTCAAGCTTTGATGTCCGCGGATCCGCAAACCAAAGTAGATAGACTTTCTTTGCGAGCTAATACGCTCGTTTCAGTTTTCGCGGAAGCTTCGCTACAAACAATTTGCTTGAAATTGCGGCACGTGCACGATAAACGCCAAGGGAAAACGGAAATGGCCCTCTCGAGGATGCGGGCAAGCGTCATCTTCCTCGCGACTCACGTCTTACAAAAATTCGCCGCGCTCCGAAAAACTATGCAGGTAAGCCCACCGACTCACTCTCGGGATGCTTAAATTGCCATTATACCAGCAAAACGCTCGAGGGGCCATATCGTTTGACTTTGGTGAATTTCGCTGTTAAACTTTATTGAAGATAAAAACATACTTGGAGAGAAGAGGAGGCGCAAAAACTGTGCGCCCGTTAAACTGCAAATGCATCCGACTTCATTAACTTATCGCGATCATAATTAAAGATTGCAGCTGAAATAGTGTAGTGCTGTTGAGTAGTTGATAACAATTGAAAATAGAAACATTGTGTTTAAGTAATAATTTGCAAAATCGCTTTTACTAAACATACTGAATGTTTAAAGAGAAATGTTGCAGTACGCGTAACATACAAGAGCTTAAGCTTACTGGAACAGGTAATGCATATAGTTTAAACGCATTTCAGTTATTCTCTTCACAATTCTGTACTCTCAACGGACAATAGAAAGTTATGTCAACGTAATATTGTATCCTTAAATCGCCGTTACTCGGGTCTTAAATACTGATTTTCTCTGCCTCTTATTTCTGCTATTTGGAAACATTTTTCAAGCGAAAACAGATCGTCGAGTAACTTTTAACAAGTGTGCCCTCGTTTTGGCTATTCAGTAACTTGGAGGCAAATTCGCATCTATCGCGAAAAAGAGAGAGAGAGAGAGAGAGAGAGAGAGAGAGAGAGAGAGAGAGAAGTTTTGTTTCAATGTAAATATGCAATTGTCTCTGGAAGCTCATATAAGAGGAAATGTAATTGTATTACGTTACCTGAGTAAATTATAGCTAAATCGAAAAATATTCGAGCAAATTATTAATGCAAATTATTAATGCAAATTATTAATAAAATATTAGTGATTAAATCTTAGAGAATAATGATCTAGCAAACGATTAAAAGTAAGTCACCTTCTTATTGAAAATAATCAATAAGAATGCTTTATATCATATCAAACTTGTAATTTTCTACTTCTTTCAATTCATGTATATAATGCATGTTTGTCCATAATGGTAGAAGTTGTATATTGTTCAACGGTGTTGTATAATATCGTTTATTAATATTATCTTGTCTTTAAACTATATATATATATATATATATATATATATATATATATATATATATATATATATATAGTTAATAAGCAGTAGCAAAAGAGGTAACAGTATCTGTATGCATTACATGAACTCGATCATGTAGTTATTATTACTCGTGGAATAAACAAGCTGGCTACCTACGCCAAATGCAGATCTAATTATATCCAAGGTAACATTATATCCGAATATATAGTTATACTCGATAATATTTATGACGAACTAATATTTTACCGTAGGGCATATGTTGATAAAATTTTATTGATGTGAAATATATAATATAATTGTTTATTATTATCATTTATTAAATAATATGTCTCCCTTTGTGTTATATAATGTAATTAAAATTTCGTCTATTTAAATATATCTGAATACATATCGGAATGTCTACTTTGCGCGTTCTATTATTATTTTGTTTATGGAACGGAAGTATATACGTCATTCTAAAAAAGAATATAAAAATTACCTTGCTACTTGGATAAAAAATAATTAACGCAATGAAACGCGTATTTACATTTTAACTATTCCATAATTTCTTATTTTGATTGAATTAATACTCATTTAATTTAATCAAACAGAACCCGATGTTTTTGATCAAAAAGTACTCCGAACAGTCAACAGCAGTTCTGGCCGATCTTGATTTCGCAATTTTTGTTTGATGAACAAATACACAGATAAAAATTCAGCCAACTAAATAAAAATGTTCTCCTCTTTAAGCGTTAATATTACGATGTTGCATATGCTCATCTGTTATTAATATATAAATATAATGAATAATGATGAATAATTAAAGCTCGGAGTTATACAATTTTTTTGAATTCAATTAATTCGTTAGCGTCGAGAAGCGCTATAAAATGTAAGCTCGACTATTTGATAATCAAAGAATTTAATCGCTCGCGACAAAGTGCCTAATTAATTACGACGAACGGTAACGGGACGCGTTTACACCGGCATTCTTCCATGTTAAACTGTCCGATATACCGCACCATTAATATTTATAACAGCGTTATCATCAAACTTCATCATCGTTTGCCCATTGGGGATCTAAATGCGTCGTCGTTGCAAAGAGAAATCCTAAAACAGCATCCCTGTCCGCCCCGTAGTTCGCGTCGCCGCCACCACTGGCCGATAGGCAAGCAAAGCACAGACAGGCCAGGGGTGCAGGAACGAGCGGGGTCGACCCTGCGCGCAGCCTCCCCAGTCCACCCCGAAGATTCAGTCGTCGTGCGACAGAGGAGGGCCGAGGAGCGCCCGGTCGAAGCGTCGACGAGGTCCTCTCTCCACTCTCTTCGTCTCCTGTTTCCGCACGCGTATCTCTTTTTATCCGTCTCGCGTTCGCTCTGTCTGGACCAAGAGCCGAAAGCGACCGAGTCCCTCTTTGTCTTTTTTTCCCTCTCTTTCCCCACCTCTCTCTTTCTCTCTCTCCTTCATCTCCCTCGCGAGCCGCGAGTGAAAACGAGCCGGGCAGCGCCGCGCCGACCTTCACCATTTTGGTACACGCAGCACGCGCGACGCACGTAAAAGCTGTGTGTGCGATCCTCGTCCGGCGAAGGAAAGCCGCGAGAGGAACTCGCCGAATTTTGCCGGAATGCGCGCGGAGCGGCCGATCCGCTGCGTGAATTCCGTGACGAAACGTCGACGATGCCGGTCTGGGGGCTGCTAGCCTCCCTCAACTCCGCCTCTCGTTTCTGTCACTCCATTCGTCTCGTTCGCTCTCTTTTTCTCTCTATCACGCAGCAAAGGGTGGGTGGTGATACGCCGGTGGCAGTGGCGGCAGTAGTGTGTGGATGCTCGCACTGGTGGGTGCTCTCTAGTGTGTGTACTAGAGTAAGTAGTGGTTGCTGGTGTCGGTGGTGGCAGTGGTGGTGGTGGTGGTGGTGGTGGTGGTTTAAATTTCAGCCGCGTGCACGGGTTCACCTACGTGAGCCATTATACGGGTCCTCGGCTTTCTCGCCGACTGGGAGGCTATACGAGCGGTCACGGTCCACGAATGCGAATTCTAGCCACCTTCGCTCACGTTACCCCTTTTCGTCGTCCTCGTCTACTCGCGTCTACCCGATGTGCTGACGCTCGACGTGCTTGCTCGATGCCGCTTGCTCGCTCATCTTGACCGAAATTCGCGTGCGCTCGCTTGTAGGTGTTGGTTGCTGGCGATGGTTGCCGGTCGACCGTCGTATCTGTACTCGTATGTGTGTATATATGCGCGTGCTTTGTTGAAAGGGTGCATAGCAGTATTACTACCACGCTGTTCTCGACGTTTTGTACTGATTGCCGAGGCAACGTAGTAGTCGGAGAGATGAGATAAAAAGATTATCCGCCTCGCGGCTACGAAACCCGGCGGTAAAATGTCAAAATGCATCGTACCGTTCGTTTCGCGGATACAAAAATTAAGCCGTTCTCGGAGATCAAAGTGGGATAACTTGAAAAAATAAGCTCGCGAGATAAAATATTATTCTTCGGGATTGTTGAAACCGTTAAAAACATACGCGCCACGAGTTTCGATGACAAACGAATAAATCTTAATTTTAGCCAAACGTTAAATCATTTTTTTCATTTAGAAATGGCATTCTTTTTCAACGTGGATTTCGATGTATCGATTGAGGGCAATCACCAATCGCATGCCATTAATCTCGAAGCTGTATAAATTAAAAGTATGGCACATCATTCGTTGATTGCTGAATCTCTTGGCGATAAGATAAAAAAATCACGGCGTATCTTTAATCGTAGAGCATTATTGGCATCAATAATCTTACATCTCTAATGCAAATACCTCTTTCTTTTCTATTATATTCTCCAGCATGTATAGAAAAGAGGGACAACTCAATATTTTTCACGAAACTTTGCGTTTGCAAATATTGCCACGTACGGAACGATCACATATATACTTCGAAAACGCGTTAAATATATACTCATACGTATATATTCACGCGTGTGTTCTTTGGATAGAAATATTGCATCATTGTGATGGGTTTCTCTCGCCGTAACTCTCTTTAACGCCGCGTAAAAACAGAAAGTATAGTAAAAACATCATCCGTTCTGCCATGATAATCTAAAGCCCATTTAATCGGCCGCCGACGCAGAGTAGAGAAGTCCTGGAAATTACCGACATGTATCTTCCTCTTCCGATTATTTCACGTAAATCCGCCATGAGATTAAATGGCTTTCTACGAATCCTATATACGTACGTGTGCATGTATATATATATTATATATATATATATATATATATATATGTGTGTATATATATATATCCTTGATACATAGATATATACGTTCACATTGGTAGGAACGAAGGTATCGTTTTCGTAAATTGCATCTAGATGCGCGACGGTCCTTCTTCTCGGCGACAATTAGACTCGATAAAACCATTACCATCACACGTCGATTCCATGCGCGGCCAACCGTGAGAACGAACGATGAGAAAAAAAGAAAAAAAAACGATGTTACACAGATATATAGAGAGGAAGCTCGGTTCGGTAAAACGACACGGGTTCGGAGCGTGTATCTTTCGAATAAAGCGTACCGCTCACTATTTGGATGCGTTTCGCAAGAGCGAATTTCAACGGGTTACCTTATGGACGAGCGTTGGAAGTCTCGTTCGATGTGGTGGCTGGAAATAGGGGCTGCAATCGGCAAGGGTGGTTTGTTTTGCGCTCGATTCGATGCCCGCCGAATAGAAACAACCGGCATGCGCTTTTTTTTTCCACGATGTAGCGTTGCGCCGAGACGATCAACGATGTAGAGGTTGAAGAGGAGTGGGAAGAGGAGACTGAGAGAGAGCGAAAAATATGCCCCGTGTGCATGTCGAGCGTGTCGGTCGCTTTTTTGCTCGTATCTTGTACTTCTGGCTCTTCTTTTTTTTTTCTGTCTCTCTATTTCATCGTTGTTCGTTACTCGAGGATCGTTGACCGTGTTGAATGTCGGTCACTGCAAATGAGATTCGCCGATGCCGAGACGCGGAGAAGTTCTCTCGAAATTGTCTCTCTCTCTCTCTCTCTCTCTCTCTCTTTCTCTTTCTCCTCTCCGTCTCTATTTCTCGCGAGAAATTTTCGAAGTAAACCGACGTCTGGATGAAAGAAGAGAAAATGCCAAGTTGCGGGTGGCAGGGTCGTTTAAATGTTTAGATTCGTGGTGTGAAAGTCCCTCTTTTACGTTATGCGAAAAACTTCTTATCGTGCGGAAGTTTGCGTTTACGCATTTGAAATGCGAGTGGGCTTTCGCGCCCGTAGAAAAATACCGCCTTCCGTTGTATCGCGAGTGTGGGAGGGAGAATTCAAGTGGTTTTAATTTCGGCCACGGTAATTTTCGTGATCGCGGGAACAACAGTGGCGATGCCTCTCTCGCCTCCAACGAGAAATAATTATTTTAGACGGCGACTCCGCATGTCTGGACGTATACGAGATTCCTTTTCGTATGTGTATACATATATACATATACGAAAAGTGATTCGCACGTATCACAATCTATCAATTAAAAATGAATTTCTCTTTCACTATAATTGTATCGATGGGATATGTTACGTTTGGTTCTCGCCTCACAAATTAAATTATGAATATTTCCAAAACAACTGCGACATCTCAAATGCAGCGGCAATTTATTCATTACGTATCGTTATAAAGAAATAATTTATTAATTATATTTATTTATTTATTTTTGTTTCCGCAGATTTTTAAAGTTGTCTGTAAGTGTATTAATTTCCGTGTTGTAATAGACTCATAAATATTTTAATCAAAAATATTAGTTTTACGTTCTTTTTTTCTTGTACCAACCTCGCTAAGATTATAATATTTCCGAACAATAGTGTCATGCTGCTGCTTTTTCATGCTGAAAATAATTCTTCGCAAAAACTTCGGCGAGAGCTCTCTCATAACTGCCCACGTATTTATATTACTAAAATAAATATAAAATGATAAAACAATTGCTCGCTACTAGCGTCATAAGAAAATTCCACAAAAAAAGCTTCTCACATCCAATTTTTATTATATCTCCTTTACTTATTTTAAAAAATTCTAAATTTTTAGAGGAAATTTAGAGAAGCACATAGACATACATTTTCGTATTTTTTGTATATATATATATATATATATATATATATATATATATACTTTTAATAGTTTTTAAAGACTTTTCAAACTTATTATTATTTGATTATTTTAAATATTTATATTTTGTTCATTATTTCATTTATATTAAGAAGATGAAAAGTAACACATATAAGCTGCTCCTATCAATTGAAGATAATATTTTACAAGATGTATACATTAATTATTGCCAACATATATTAGTCTATCAAATTTCTTTTCATTAATGTAATATTTTTTAATACTTTTTTTTTAATTAAACGTCTTTCTCGAGCGCGCGCGCGCTTGAATGAAAACCTTTGAGGATGCATCGCACCTGCCTCACGGTGTTCAACACTTTGACCCGAGCTTTTTCGCGAATGCGAGCTTTCTGCAGCGAGCGTGTACGTGCCCGAAAGCTCGAAGCGTAGCATCAGCGGATACAGAGTACAGAATTTCCGCGAGAAATCTGCACGTTGCACGTGCGTTTTGCAGCTGTGCTCCGCTGTTCTTTCAGATTCGACCGAATCGGTGTGGTGGTGCACCATAACGCGAAAACGACCGTAGGAAATACGTGCAAAACGAGATGCCAGCTTCCGTGACATTCGTGCCGCATCTTGGGAGATACGTCATCACGCGAAGACTAGGTTCGTGGGAGCGTTCGTCGGTTTTACACTTTTCTACTAAATCAGCCCTTAACGTCCCCACGGATCCACCGATCTATGATCGATAAGCATCTGTGGAGAAGTGTCTCAATTCGAACGTCGCCATCGTGATTCGTTTGTCTCGATATCGAGATATCGAACGTCCCGCGGAGAAGCGAGAGAGAAGAATTCCGCAATGTGCGTGACGGGGAAGACATACGAGCGAGAAATGGATGGGAAAAGTACGTTCGAATCTTAGCCCGCTCTTGCCCGTAAATAGCGTTTTGTAACCCCCGTCACGTGAAATCGATATCCCTTAAGAGCCGGTCCGTGAGGTCGTCCGTCAGACCGGTGCTGCCTGTTTCGCCCCGTGGAAGTGGAAGAGTGGAGAGTGGGTGCCGAGTCTGCGGGGAGCCTGCGGGGAGCCTGCGGGAGAAGGCGGACAGGAACGGGCTTTGGCTGAATAAAAGAAGAGATGCACAGGAAAAGGCCAGCGTTCCTCAACGACATGGGACTGCTAATGTTCTTAGCAGTAACAGCCTCTCTGTTGGGTTATTGCCAAACAGACGAAAAAGGTAAGACGCGGCATCGCGATCCCTCTCTTAACTTACCATTTCACCCCCTTTCTCTCCTTTCTCCGTCCCTCGCGCTACCTACCACCACCGTAGGAGGTAGCGTCGAAAGAAATACGGATTTCGCTTTCCGCATCGCCACTCGGACGGACGAGGGTGAAGGGACGCGAGGATAGCGCCATGCGCGAGAAAGAACGGCGAAGATTAACTTTTATGGCCGCCGGCATCAGTAGTTCCTGCGAATTTACTTATAGCAGGAGCGGTTTAATGGTCGTCGTGCACACATACACGCACACGTCGCCGGACGCTTTTAATAGTGCGAGAGACTGTGCCGCGCTACACCCGCCGCGGCATCCCTTCGTAAACACCCCCACGACAATGATTATATCGAGAGAAACGCGCGTAAGAGTACCTCGGTCTCTTTAACTCTTAATCCGCAAATAGCCACTAGAATAACTGAAAGCTACTATTTTTTTATGACTGCAGTAATGGAAATTTGTACGTGTATGTGAACAAAAATTTGTTGTACGTATAATATAAAATGATAAGCGAAGGAAGTGAGATGGAAATTAAAGTTGTAATCGTTTATAATAATTTCAAATATCTTCTACAATCGTTAAAAGAGTATGAAAAACATCAAGCATTTCGGATCAATATTCTCAATGGCTTAAAACAATTCAAAATTCATTGTTTTTTAATTGAAATTACAAGTTAAATTTTTTTTCAGAACCATTGGAAGGCATTAGATTACTTGGTGATACTTGTGCTTTCTTTTAAATAATTCGAGACTTATAATTGTTACACATAATTATACATCTATAAAAGTGCTTTCATTAACTCCTTTTTTATAATCGAGAAAAAATTTGAATAGATCCAATCTTTTTATAGCACATTGCAGTATAATCATCAAACCCAATAACTCTTAATATTTTACAATTACTTTAGAATTAACTGGCTGCTTTATTACTTCAAAGTTTTAAGCGTGCTATTAAATATTTGCATTATGTCCTCCGTTATACAAGCGCGAGATATTGTACATGAGGAATATGGGTGGATTTATATATGATTATATACTGGAAGAAGAGAAATATTATTCTATAATTTTGCAAAATAGTCGTCTAAATTTCTTCGCTATATATTCTGTGCTACACAAGAATTTTGAACGTAAACGGATCGTATTCTTGAACAAAAAAAGAATAGAATAAAACGTACAATATGATGTACTTCCGAGTCTAAAGTAGAAAATAAATTTTTTTAATTATTCGTAATGTAGGATATATGTTTATGCACGATGCGATAAATGAATGTGCGAGAAGAATGGACGCGAGCGTTTTCAGAGTCGCTAATTAAATTTGCCCAATTTGCAATAATCGAACGCGGAAATCACGTTGAAGTAATAACTTGCTACTAAATCATACATGTTACAATACATATCGGGAATGCACTCGTGCAACGAATTATCGGCGTATCCGTTATCGTGTGTTGTACAACGCTCGATGTATATGAGCTTAGCGTTTCATCTGAATAAACCGGATAATCGAAATAGGTAATCCCCGCGCCGGTTAGTTTTCCCGGAGTCATCTCTTTCCCGACGTTGTACCTTACCAGATTGATCTGAATTTAACAAGCGGTGAGACCGTGATACTCGCGCGCACGGCAAGTTCAAACAGAAAATTGTTAACGTTCATACATTGCAACGGTCTGTTTCGAAAAAAAAGTTCAATGGCGTTCGTAACAATCAATATGTCGCGTCGCGTACCAATAAAATCCGCACGTATCCCGACGTATTCACTCGCGTGTTAATACATTGCGAATTCTCTTTCCGAAATTGTTGTCAGTTCTGCTGTTGTTTATTATACGTAGATGCAATTTCAAAGCGATCAATTAAATTTGTCATGTTCCGTGCGTTTGGATATAATTAAGAGGAAAATTCCGGTAAAATATTTGCGAAATATATATACATAGCAAGAATGTGCTGTATATAATAGCGGAAGAATGCAACACCCGCGATGTTCGTTTTACATTATTCGCGGTTGATCTCACGCAAAATTATACTTTCCCCGAGAGACATATATACCGGAATATCCCGAAATAAAATGAGATAACTCTCTGCTACTCTAATCAGTTTTCCGTTTGTCGGATTAATTATCTGCATGGAGCGTGCGAGACTGTTGCGTCGCGTCGCACGTGGCGTATCGCACATTTGTTTTTACATACTCCGGCTACTCCGGCTACTCCGACTGGTTACATATTTTCGCGAAAAACACATGCATCGGAAAAAAGAGAAAAATTTGCTGTTACGCAGCCGCATATTTTGTACGCGCCAGTCATGTGCGTATTTAATATCTCGCAAAAATGCAATCGAAGAACATAATTACTCGCTAAAGTGGTTTTGCAATGAGAGAAAGGCTGAGAGAAAATGTCAAAACAATTGTAGATATGTACAATTATAATTATACATAAATATATGACCGAAACTATTAAATATTTCGGTTCTCTCAACATCTTCAATAATTTCATAAAAATGATCGATTGCGTCAACGTTACTTGTAATTTGATTAAATTATTGAATGTAAGATTTAATCCAGATTGCAATCGACTTTTAAACACAGAAAAACAGAAGACACACACACAGCGTCTCGTCATAGTTTTCGCTTGTGCGATTGCACACACTTTTTAATATGACACAAATAAAAGCAATCAAGGTTTATCGATATCGATAGTTAATTAAGATCAATTAGCACGTTTATTAATTTTTATTTTTGCCTGCAATATCTATCGGTGAAATTATCAGGAAATGGAGTACTTGGCATAAAAATTTACAAGATTGTTTTTATTTGCCGGTCACATCGAGCCGCACCGACTACTACCACCGCATGTTAATGCACCGTACACTTTTTCTCGAATGTCGCTGGCCAATTACGCTTACGTAACCAGAGAGAATCTCCATACGTTTTCGTAGAGAAAAGAATTACGAGAATTGCATGATGTGCTTGAAACGCTCGTATCTCATAATATGGCTCGGTTCTACCTTGCCATGTTTACACGGAATGCAGGTCAATCGGTGTATTCAATGAAATTCGATGCAACCGACCGGATATACAATCAACGCGGAAAACGCGGAAAATTTGATCTGAAATATACCCGTAAAATTACGAGGGACTGCAGAGTTAGTTAATGATTAACGATACAGTTGGATAGATTAGCCTCTTGTTATCCAGATATTATGTGATATACATCATGAACCAGAAAATATGTATGTTTCGATGCCAATGCGATTCATTTATGTTAAAAAATACACGCACAATTTTTTAATCCGAATAATCATCCGTTATCTATACGAATGTGCAAGATAATACTTCGACATTGCGCTACAAATAAACCATTTGTGAAATGAATATATACGTAATATATTCTCGATATATACACATTCAATGAAAAAGTTTTAAAATTTATTATTTAATTTTCAACTATAAAACACACACACACACATGTTTCTTGTGATCGAAATTTATGGAATATTGCTGGTGGATATATTCGCATGATTAACCCGATCTCTTTTGTGTAACGATTCTGTTATTTTGTACTGTAAAAGCAAATCTCGATTTTTAGTAATTCTACAAAACAAATAACCTATCGAATAACAACGGAATACGTATTTTCAATATCCGTGTATATAACCAACGAGAATCGTAATTATCGTAACGAATGTATAGATCTACATATACATGTGTATCCGGATACAATCGAAATAACAATCTATACATGGATAGATTAAATGTACATTTGCATATGTGTATATGATCAGATATACACCTATGAAGATAACATGTGATAATCTTAAAAATTTAAATATTTGCATTCTAAAAAATTATATTTACAATTGTCAGTATATATTATAAATGTCGAGAGAGAGAGAGAGAGAAAGAGAAAAAAAGATTGATTTATCTCTATATTCTGCAGCTTCTACGTAATTATTTGAGTTTCTTCGTTAATTATAAATTTTAATTAAATCTGCAAATTAGAAACCTTGTAAATCGATAAACCTTTCTAAAAATATTTGTTTGAAAAAGTTAAAATATTGCTGATTGAATTTGTTTATAAATAATATTTAAAATTTGACAAATAAAATTTGATAATTTATTAACGTAATAAGTGTTTGAAAAAATTAGATGTTTGGAAAAAATTGTCACTTTATTATTGAAATATTTAATAATATTTAAAATTAATATTTTCAAATTAATATATTTTTTGTAAATTAATGAGCCCATGTGTGAGAAATGTTTGAGCGCACTTGATGAATTGCACGGGTATCAATGCTCCTATATTAAGTCGGTCCTTTGAAACGTACGTAAATATTGCGATTTGCGGATAACACGAATTGAGTAAGCCACGGTGCAATGAACTGAAAAACACCGAGGGCAATACGATCGATTCGCGGTCGACGTTAATGTTTCTATGCACTAGCTAACTGAGAAGCAGAAGCGAGAGAGAGAGAGAGAGAGAGAGAGAGAGAGAGAGAGAGAGAGAGAATGGGAGATTCTTCGTACTTAATGGTCCGTGCTTTTATTCCATGTACTTGAACGCGTTCTTAGATCAGTTACGGGAGTGGGAAATAAACCCTTGGTGTAACTTTGTTCATTCCTTTATCTATGTGTCTACGGCGCACCATAAGATACGAGATCTCCTCCGTTGTTCGTTCAAAGCGGCTGAAGCCGGTCATTCAGCGGCTCAATCGAAGCATCGACGTATTCCTTTCACACTTACGGTCGTTTCAGGAATACGCTTTCGCTAATCGAAAATATTCTACGATAATAGTCGAGATATGCCCCGAGGAGATCCGCATCGAAACTTTGCAGACTAACAGTGGATTCTCTATTTATCTCACTTTTTATTCAGACCGCAAAAGCGATATTTGTACCTTTGTAAAACCGATGTATAAGTCTACAGAAACACCCGAGAGAGTCGGAAAACTTTGACGATTCATTCATCAACCTGCCGCCAGGTTCACTTCTGCCGCTTTTGTTAATGAAGTGAGTCGAGCGGTTACTCGCTATAATAGACTTCGAGAACTTGGACTCCATAGGTAAATTTCCAAGTATCGTGATTAATAATCATCGTATGTCTCTATAATTTCTTTGCGCCTTTTAATCGTTGTAACTATTCTCTTTCAGTAGTTGATTATTAAATATTCAAAGTGACATTTTTCATCTCTGCTGGTTTAAATATATCAATATAGGAAAAACCTTTCGATTATACAAGAGCGCGTTTATTTGGAAATATCGGTCTTTTATTTCTATACGACAACTGCTTTGACATATGCGAATGACAGTTGATGTGAGCACGGGAAAACAATTTCACGCTCGCGCAGAAATAGAGCTTTTATTATTTTTATTAATATCATGAATAAATTTGATTTTCGGTGTCGCGCATGTGGAATATTATAATTCATTATTAATTAATATTACAAGTAATAGCGAACTGAAAATTTATAAGCCAGTTATATGAAAACATAGATGTAACAAGATAAATATATAATAAGAAATGCTTATGATGTAAAATCATAATTGCTCAATTTGAGTCCAAGGCTATTTTGTTTGTATTTTCTAATTTTTTTTAATTATATTTTATTTTTAATTATATTTTATATACTATATGTACAGTTATTATAAATTATTGTGCACATTTAACACTATATATGGATTTTAACGGAATCTTTTCTTATTATAAAAATCAAGATAGTAAAAAAAATGAATTTTTAAAATCTTTAGAATTAGCTACATAAATGGGGTTAAGAAATTGACGTGAATCTTACAAGATTTGCAAAAGTCTTACTAGTTTGTTGTCTATCTTCGCAGTCTCGTCGCGCGACTTATTTGCTTATTTACCGCTGCTTACGGCGCAGTACGGTAAATATATGAAATTTCTTGAAGAAAGCCACTTTAGCTCGCAATTCAAAAGTTATCGGAGAAACAGATGAACGAAATAAAACTTTCCGAGTGACACTTAATTTCTCTTTCTCGGCACTGAAGAAAAATGAGGTCTTGTGCGCCGACTCTGCAACGTATTCATCTCATTTCTTATTTTTACGTAAAAATATATAGGACGTTTGCGAGCGCGATGTTTAACTGTCATATTCCTTTTTTTATAAATTTATATTTTAATTATTATTATATTAGTCAGCGGAATATAAAATGAGAACCAACTGTAATGGGGAACCGCCTTCGTCGTTATGAGAAAACCGTGTAATTTTCAGGACCGTAGAATTGTCGAGTGAGCGAGAGAGAAAGAGAGAGAGAGAGAGAGAGAACATTTACAACGTTATGTAAATTAAAATGAAGGATTGCAACGTTAATAGCGCATTTTCCTGTTTCCCCCTCCCTCTCTCTCTTTCTCTCCATCTTTTTCCTCCCTCCGGCAAATTGTCCGGTATATAATAATGCGCGTCATCGGTCTTCCACGTTGTACCACCTAAACGCATTAAATTTGTTAAACTTGCAGTGTCGTTTTACGGAGCGAGCTACATCCATCTTCCGGTTCAAGAGGCCAAGGGTGCTACTGACATCAGTTTCCGGTTTCGAACTCATCTCGCCGATGCTATGCTGCTATTGGCTGCTGGCAAGACGGATTACTGCCTGATCAAACTCGAAGCCGGCAGATTGAAGGTTCGTTTGCCCCCGGCGCTTACTTCTATTAATAGGCTTTCTGTTTGGTGCCGGTCGTCTCGTCGTCGTTAACGGACCGCACGTGCTGCGATACGCTGCTTGTCAGGCATCTCTCTTTTCTCTCCCCGTGTCCTTGCGGAGAAATTAGAGACGCGCCATGACACGAAAAAAAATAGAGATTCTCGCGTGCGCTAAAATATTCCCCTTCGCGAGGTACCGCGAGGAAAAAGGAAGACTCATTCGCGCAGATGTAACACTCGCGCGCGTGTCCGCGGTTTTTATTACCTTGGGATTTTTATTTCTTAACGAAAGAGATGGCACGCGTCCAACGGCACACGGCGAGGGGTATTGCATCCAGAAAAAGATCCTAATCGGCAATGAATTTTGTGAGCTGAGGGACAACGCGCGTGAATATATATACGTGAATATATATATTAATTATTGATCCGTAATATCGCGCATATTCTTATTTATTTTATTCTTATTATCATTACATAATCATTTATAAATATTCATCTGTTTTTACTGTGGCTTTTTAAAATACCTTTCAATAATAGTACATACTGATATCATATATATATTATATATATTTACATTTTCATGTGAAAAATATCATTTAATTAGATTGTCATTTAATTAATGTGGCCTTGCTTCTCTCCCCATTGATCGGAGAAGATATTATTTGTTAAAATTTATTTATTTATTTATCGGAGAAGATATTATTTGTTAAAATAAAATATCATTTATACTATTATTAAAAGAAAAAATTATTAAAAAGAAGTACGTAAGAAGTGCAGGTTCTAGGCTAAAGGACAAGGGAAATGGAAGGGATGGAACAAAGGCAGTGATCTGTAACATCGCTGCATATTAGTTAAGGGTTAATAAAGGTAACAATAACAGCTTAAGAGTTAAGAATAGAATAATAATATCTTCACACTGCATAATATCGAAATCGATAAGACTACAAAGTAGCATAGCACCTCCAAAATTTGGTTTCTGCCGTATTAAAAAGTATTCTAAAAATTTGTAATTTTTAGAATACTTTTAATAAATTGTATGTACTAATTGTATTTAAAAACTGAAAATTAAATGCCGATTTCGTATTTTATTTTGACGTAAAAATCGTATGTACGTCATAGACAGAACCTTATGTATAAAAAGGGCAAATATGTACTAGAAAGAAACCAATAAATTGATTCGCCAACGAGCGAGATACAACCAAACCAGCCACCAAAATCAATCGTAGATGGATTTCGATATCGCGGAGTATCACATTTCAACCGATGGCAATTGCACCTCAATCGTAGAGAGAATTAACTAGCCGCTACTTCTATTGTATCCGATCAGCCGACGAATCGACGATCGTCGAGTTTCACCGTAAATTCGCGTGTTTTTTTTTGCCCTGTACCGTTTATAAAGAAAGATTTCACGGCGGTTGATAAGCGGTTCGACGTCCTCGTTAAAAGATCGACTTTCTATCTTTCTTTTGATAGCGCGATGACGTAGCGCGCGTCAACATCGATGGCGGCCGCTTTACAACACGTCGAACAACGAGAACAAAACCGCGTAATGTCTTTTCCATCTATCGACGTCTCGCGAAATGAAATTGTACGATGATACCGCGCAATGGTGAAGTCAATTCTTTTTTTTTTTACACACTCGGTTTTATCGCGCTTCGATACGATGATGTTCCGATCTGAAACGCCATTCGCCGCGTCGCGACGCGTTTTCGTTTTTTGCGTATCAGTCAGGATTTCACACGTTCGGTCAAAACTGTCCGGACAAAATCACTCGATCGGATTTTACGCAATAATGAACGTTGCGGTCCAAATGATGGGACGAGGCATTTTTTTCGTCGAAAAATCGTGCTGGATTTACGCGCAAACGGAGTAATGATTGATGTTGTCGTGATCCCGTTTTCCTGAGCGCGAACAAGTTTCGTCGAAAATTATTCTTAAAGAAAAAAATATTCATTCGTCGAGAGCTTATATCGCGCTAATTTACACGTACTAATTAAAGTACGCTATATGTGCGATGCGTGTGAAATGAGCGGGAAAGATTCACTCTCGCGTTTAGTGGCCGAGAAAAACATTCGCGGCATGAAACGAGATCGAAAACGATTTATTATATCTTATATATCGTTATCTTCCGATGACATTTGTACGGATATTTTTTACATTGTTAGCGTTGTAAACGTGGAAACACGTTTACGCACGTTGAGAATACGTATCGCACAATAATAAAATTCCATTTCATATCTGTTCTAATATCAGAAATTGCAATTCAGATTGAATATATTCGCGAAATGCGAATTTTCGTGATCGATATCTACGTTATTATGACGAGCGTCAAGACTGCTGGCGATGTAGATAAACACGGCCGTTCTTGCGTACATGAAACATGTACGTAACAGAGTACAACACGCCTATAAGCAAGTTTCATGGACCATAATGAGAAGAACGCTGACAGCGATAGAGCTCGCGTAGTAGCCACATCCTGTCTCTTGATAATAACCGGTTGATGAGACCGGCGCTGCTTCTAATTATGTACAAAGAACATTGCGCGCTTGCAACGAAGTTACAACTTTGCACAGATTATTAATTTTCCAACGATTAATATTCTCGCGCGTACTCTCATGTTTTATATGACTCATTATCACGCTCCCACCAACGAATGAAACGTGCTTAGCGCCCTAATCATCGCGAGCTGCGATTCGCGAGAATCCAACGCGCGGATCCTAATATTATTTTCCCGACGAGCGCAATTAGGATAATCGATTTTTACCATGGTTGTCACAATTATCCCGAGATCCATCTCTTCGGTAGACGCTGTCTCGTATTTCAATCGCAAAGTTTTCGTCAATCTTGGCTGCCGTGCTTCTTACGTTCTCGGTTTCTCGAAAAATCTTGAATCTTAACGTCGAAATAGAACCGTACGCGATGCAGTATTAAAATACCCTTTATTCTGAGTGCATCAGCCGCGTGCAAACGCGGTATCTTGGTTACGTGCATGAATCCCGGCGTGAAAACCGCGCGAATCTAATTTCGCAAAGGGTTAAGTCTGTGCAGCGCGAAGAAGCTGCTTTGCCGTCGGAGCTTAATTAAATTTGTTAAGAAGATCGTTAAGGAGGATGAAGGCAGGATAAACGGCCGGAGTAAAAAGTGCAACGGCTGTTCCGAGGTCTCGTGTGCCTCCTCGAGACAGAGGACTCTCGCTCGACGCCTCCGGAAGCTTAAAAGCCCCTCTCTCTATCCAGCGATAATCCGGCGATTCAGAACTTAATTGCGACGATATATCGTGGTATCGCTCGCTTTCCAGCCGGCGATATAATTGGATCTTCACTTTCATGTAGTACTTAAGATTTAAAAAACTTTCCCTCTTTGCGCGCCTCGCTTTTACCCTTTTTTGTGAATTTTTAATTAAATTTACTAAATATACTCTTAGTGCAATTACCTTTAATTTAGCTTATACATTGTCCTTCTTGTTTCCCTTTATTACCGCGTGTAAAATATGAAAATTTGTGAAATTTAAATAAGCAAATTACGAATTCTTGTCAAGATAAAATATGTTTAATAAGCTAAGAGTGCCGAGAAACTAGTGAAGATGAGACGTTTTTGAAAGAAGAATTTGATAGCAACAATAATATAATGGACCATAATGCCTTATAATTAGGGAAAATGTTGTATACTTTTCTTCTTCGTGTTAAGAGAACCGTAATCCTAGTAATTATGAAACATCGTTATTAGTAAAGTGTGGCATTTTTCCCGACCGAAATAGCTATTTTCTCGGCGTTACCTTATATTTAAACATCAACGGGAATTATAAATATATCTATTCTAACGAACTAACGGAGAAAGAAAGTGAGCGTTTTATTTCACCGACGATTGCATTCGAGCGCGAAACAATCGTTAATCTTGAGCCTCCGATAACCCGATGAATGAAATCTTAATTACTGCAGCGTATCGCGATATTGCTCACTTTTCAATGCCGGACGCCATTCATGGGCGATTGACGTGAAAGGGAAATTTTCTGCGACATGTCGACATTTCGCAGTGATAATCGGACAGTCGCGTTCTCTCGTGTACGTCGCTTCCACTATTGTATCGCGATCTGTGTGTGCGTATTCGCGATAAACGCGAGAGTATCGGTATATCACAATAGCCCCGTCTAAACCTATCTCGGCGGTCCGCGGATAATCCGACGATTCGGCTACGCCGGGATGCATCGGTGGTTTCCGATATTCACTTTCCAATCGTCGATGCATTCCTAATGCGACCATCGCAGACGCTTCGACAATTGTGTGCGCAGAAGCGCGTTTACATTCTACAAAGTGTCGGCGTATATCGCGCTCTCTTATACATATTAATGAATTCTACATTTAGTTACCCGATATTGCTGCGTTCGATTTTAAAAGAGACCTCTCTTTCCCTTTGTGTCCCCTTTCTCTCTTTTTAAACGTAACTTGTTTCGAAACTTTAATTTTCTTAATTTATGTCTCTCCCCGCAATTCATATCCCTCTTCATATTTCATTATAATTTATAAATTCTTTTTTACTTACTCTGGACGGCGGATTCTGCTGCCCGTAGTAGTGGTGGGTTTACCTGTAACAAGAAGAAATATCAGCGGTTAGTAACAGTAGTAGTAACTATGCTATCGCCAGCCTCGGTTCGCAAAAGCTCGCGCCTTTATTACCGGATCGATCGTAAAAACCGACGGTGCACCAGTAACTTGGACTGCGCCGCCACTGCAACTTTAGTCTCGGACGATCGACTTTTCATTAAGAGGAGGAGAACCGCAGCGGATGCTCCTCGATCTCTTACATAGGATCAACGAAGACCGCGCTCGAGGAACAGTAGCGCGACGCCGTAGTAGAAACGCTATAAGTCTCGGACGCTCGATCCAGGACGCGATTAAAGCCTCTTTATCAGGAGCCTGCTACTTCACCTCTGAATAAAGCGCATCGTGTACTATCTGCTAACTCGATAATGCATTACACCGCGTTGAAACATAAGGTTTAAGTGACGCGGCTATAAAAAACGTGCCGAGAATTATTTATCTACACGCAGTCTTTATCCGTAAAAAAAATTTATTTCCCGCAACTATTTCAATTTTTTATTTCTCTTCTTTTCTTAAGTTTAAATTATTCGATATTTCAGTTTTAATGAAATGTTTAATACAGTAATGCTCATTATAAAAAAATTATATTCTTTATTCTATATATATATATATATATATATATATATATATATATATATATATATATATATTACTTATACACAGTATCAATTTTTATTACGTCTTTCTAGAATTTCATATCAAATTTTACGTGAAAAGATAATCTTAAATATTAAATTCTGTAGAAATATCTTGAACATCCATCTGCCCGTTAAGAAAATTTATTATTAAAATATATATATATATATATATATATATATATATATATATTATGTAATATTTACAATAATCAACAATACTCGACGACAAGTGTGGTAGACAACAATCAGGCACGGTTGATTTAGACGGTTTCTGTGAATCTGAATGTGCGCGGCAAAGGGGAGGAAGAGGAGTTTGAATTTATCCTCCCCTGGGTATGTATCGTAAATCCACTATACGCGTAACTAGAAATCCCCGACGGTGCGATTACAAAGTAACTGCAGTAACTGCTGTTGCGCGATGCGTTTTGGGAAAATAATGATACATATCTATATCCATATCTTTTGCGCGATTCTTACGCATTACACGTAGAACATAATTGCGAGAATCAGACAAAGACTTTGCCAGCAGCGTTGCTAAATTGTGGCCGAATCGCGTCGTTTCTTTTTCTTCATTGATCAAATATAGGAACGACGAGCTATCGAAGGGGTTCGACATTTATTTTCCGCGCGAAACCGAGAGCCGTTTTCACTGTCTGTCTAGCTGTCTGCCTTCTTCATTCTCTCGGCGTGCAAACTCATTGTACGAGTGCTTCAAGTGCAGATGGAATACACGAAACCTCGAGCTGTCGGATTCCTGTCAGCTCACGCTGTCGGAGAATTTGCAGGGCATGACTGGCGCCAGACAACCTCGTGTACCAAGCTTAGTACACCTACTTTGCCAAACCTACCTTTTTTTGCAGATTTGTATCTGTTTCTCGACGCGAACTCGAAAATGATGAATCAAATATGTATTTTCAAAATCTCGAATTTCCAACAATATCGAGATAAAATTATATATCCGTGACAAATTATGCATTCGACAGCGTAAATAATTATGTAAATGACGATGCATTATTACTTTTAATATTTTGCTTTTAGAAATATTAGTTGTACCGCTTGTACGGATTTTTATTTCATTTTCACCTATTTCTCTCTTCCGTGCTCTTTCCTATAATTATTTTACAATAAGTGCAAAACTTTTTGATTACACCGTCGAGGCCGCAAAGAAGATAAAGCCACCTTATGGCGAGACGCTTCTTGCGATACTTGTGCGAAGTCGTCGGTTTCATCGTTCATTAAATATCGTATCCGTGTATCTCTCTCTCTCTCTCTCTCTCTCTCTCTCTCTCTCTCTCTCTCTCTCTCACACACACACATCGGTAAAAACACATTTTTCTATAACATTTTTACAATACCGCGATGCATAGTTTGGCTAGTGGGAAAAGCTATAAAGCACACACTGGGTCCACGGCCGGAAACCAAAACTCTATTTCGAAGAGGAAAACAACCGGCTTTTTGAAAAAAGACTAAGGAAAACAAAAGCAGGATGCATTTATATCGTAAAACCCATTTGCGGTAGCGGCGCGTCTACAATAACTCTGGTAAAAATGAGACTGACTTTTACGAGCGCCGCTCCTACTATTTTTTTGCCGCAGGTTCACATTAATCTAGGCGCAGGCGAGAACGAGATGGCGAGCGCTCGCGGATTGACACTAAACGACCTCAGTTGGCACGAGGTCAATTTGACGAGACGTGAGGCCAACATCAGCCTACAGATCGATGTCATACATACAACGAGGTCGCAACTACCGGGTCGCTTCTTCGAGCTGAACATACACTACGGCGTTTTCATCGGGGGACAAGGCTATTTCAACGAACTATTTCTAGGTAAGACGGTAGGACAGGCGAAGGAAGGGCAGACAAGGCTTGGTTTATCCGGATAAATTGTCTCACCACGTGACTGAACTAGATTCGATACGGCGCACCAGCAAAAACCACATTTGTCGATGTTGCATTTGCGCTGCGGTCACGACTATCTTCCCTTTCCCTTCACCTTGTTTCGTTAAACGAATCTCACCCAACTGCCGTGAGGACAATTGTGAGATTAGATAATCAAGAGTCGCGTTTAATAAATAATTCGCACACACGTTCGAATGAGACATTTTCTGTCCCGTTAAAAATTTTCAAATAAAATATTTTTCACGCAAATTGTTCACGTCATATGTGTGTAAAAAAATATCAATAAAGTAAAAATATATAAGAGAAAATAACTTTATAATAAACATAAATAATAAACGATGGAAATCAGAACGAATATTTTTCCTACATATTATTGCTCGTCACTGTATATTAATATAGTAAACATAAATAATTTCAGACACGACAACAGAGTATATACAATATATGATTGCTGTGCGTGATTTGCTAAAATATTATTTTTATTGAATTTTCTTTGAGAAAATAAACATTAATAAACATTAAAACATTAAATAAACATTAAAATAATATAATATTTTCCTTCAATTACAGAGTACTGTAAAAAATAAAATTATTACAATAGTCATGCGATTAATAATGCAAAAATAGAGCTTTACAGAGAGCATACGAGATAATATAATATTAATAAAATAATAATTATTTATGCGGTAAATTGATCCGCAGCTCGCAGATAAATTAAATTTGATAGGTTTCAATTATAAATTGTGATAAAAAGCATCAATAGTATGACAACATAGTTATTCGCATCTCTTTGTTTTCTGAAATGACGATATGAATTGTAATAAAAATAATGCCAATATACTCGAAATCAGAAAACCAATTTTAAAAAACAATAATAACTAAATTAGACTTCGATATGCATGAATTTAATTTTATTTCGACAATTTACGATAATATCAAATATCATGTTTATATGTATTTATGTATCTTTTTCCTTTTTTTATGGCAGTTTGATAAGCACTAGTAAGAAGAAAAGACGATCATCAATACACATTGTGTGTATAAAATAAATAACAATATTTAATAATTTAAAGGCTATAAATTTAGTACATTATTCACGTAATGTTATAATATTTCCACTGCATGATTAATTTATTAAATTAACAAAAACCATGTATGCAATAATTAAAATCTATATGATATTTGTACGAATATTTGCATATATATCAGATTATTTATTTATATAATAAAATATAAGTGAAAAATGACTATACAAAATATATCAGAATATTTATATGTTAAATTTTAAATATTTTAAAATACGAATAAGAAATAGCTCATACAATGATATAGGACAAAGTTATAACGCAATCATGGAATCTTAATGAATTATCTCTTAGAATTGTGTTATATTCGAGTCCACTTGCGGCAACGAAATTACGGCGAGAACTATGTTAACTGACACAAAACGACATTGTCCAAATGATATTGTTTCGGCAGGCTTCTGTAATGGTTTCTGTAATAGCAATTCCAGAAGATGGGATGAAGATAGCATAAATAAAAAATATGAAACGTCGTGCTTCTTAAATAAAATCTCACCATAACTTTTTAGATTTAAAAATTTGTAGCATAAAAAATCAAAATAAAAAAAATCTAGCGCGTATGGATAAAATTGTATTGTAAATTGTATCATAAATGAGCGGAAGCAATTTTTTTTGAAACAATGAATAATAATATCAAAGAGAAAATTTGTCGGAAATAATTTAATATTTATCAACATTTGTTTTGTATTTTATAAAATTTTTCATATTTATAAAATTCCGCGATATTATATTAAAAAATAATCTTTAATTAATCCTAAACAATTTTTAACAAAAAACTCGATGTATTTTATATACATTTTTTAGAAATATTAGAGATCTTTTTTTGGACTTTCCCTCAATTTTAGTAATGAATGTTATTGATGTTAAATGTAATCATATTAATGAAAGATTAATGAATCTAATTGTAAAATGCTATCGACAGAGTTAAAAAAAACAAACTACATTATGCATTATAAATCAGCATTAACATCTGGTAGAGATTGAGAAATTATATTATAAAAAATTTTTTTAATTTTCTAAATTTATACGTGAAAGCGGATTCGTGTAGAGAGAGATCGTTAAAAATGTCAATATGTGTTTTCTGAATGATTGTTTCGAATAATACTGTATACTATAATAGTGAAACAATTGTTTATCATTATGCTGAGTCGTGACAACGAGCGAAAACAGGTGATTATAATGGTACAGTAGCTGATATTATATTGAAAGTATGACATACGCGCCGTCTCGTGTTTCCGCGATGGCATGGCTTAAATAATGGAGTACCGGGAGTCCGCGTTGCACAAAATCGCACGAACGAGGGAATGTAATTCAAACATTTGCCTTTGTTTTCGTTGTGTTAACGGTAACATGTAATGAGACTCGTCTCGTGTAATGATCGTAATTACTGTTCGAAATATCATGCGATCAGCGTTTCATCAATGCCCGCGTAACTTTGCTCAATCGTGAAAATATACTCAAGTCGATCACGTTCATAATCCTGTTGCCGATCCTAATTTCATTATCGCGCTCGCAATTCTTCTTTGCACCACGAATAAATTGAAAGTCGCGATACGTCTCTCATGAGGAATGGCGATTGGAAAATTCTCCATTCGCCTTTTGCAGCTACAACGTTTCGGCTGTATTATATATTACGCCTTTGTGGCAAAATTCCGGATTACGTTCTTCTCTGCTTCGGTATACTCACTATAGTATCGGTCATAGAACACTACGAGTTGGACGACAGGGAGAAGGTAAAGATATCCTTTCTATTTTCAATCCGTTGCGCACACAAAAAATCTTACACGAAGAAAAATCGTATTATTTTTTTAGTCTTTCTGAAAACGTGAGATAAAAGCGTGAAATAACATATTTTAGGATCAAAATAAACTAGAATAAATTAAAGCATGCTAGAAAATAATTTTGTTGGAATATTTTACGGAGGAATGTGTGAAGGTGTAAAAATTTGCAGGAAAATGTAAGAATTTGCGAGGAATAAGAATTCATGGATTCAGAGATGTAACCAGTATTTATTCATATATAGTGCGCAATCATAATTTTGGCGTTGTGCTCACAATTTCCCCTTGCGTGTGTATTTGCGAGCGTATATGACTCTTTTAAAATAAACTTGGCTCTTATACCCAAACGATTGCACCTTTCGTGTTCCATATATGCCACAAACAGCTTGATAACGACTAGGCTCTTTAATGCAGGCCTGGCGCATCAGCCGCAGCGGCAAGATAATCATTTCTCCAAAGTAAAACAAAAAATTTAACCAAGTCGTTCCATTCGAATTGACGTGAACGAAATTGAATACGATCAGCGCAAACAGCATCATTCTCTTTCCCTCTTCATATTTCTCTCTGTCTCTCTTGTTCTTCCTGTAGACGCCCCCATCGTTATCTCGTCGGCCGTCACGCATAATACTCGCCGACCAGCTCGAAATTCAATTTACATATTCATGACAATTCATTTGTACCCTGTGGGCCACTCCTTGGAGAAGGTCTTATTAATTCTCTGGCATGAGTCTCGCTAAATTCTCGAGGAATAAAGAAAGAGAGACAACCTCCTTGGCATTCGAAGGAGGGTGCAAAATTCATTTTATGGTACAGGCTCTGTATAGGGTTGCAGAAGACCCGAAAATAATATCAACTACTCGCAGACTTGTAGGATTCTTGAAGCAGTTTGCAATAGATTCCTCTGCGGAAGATTTAACTCTTCCCTTTTTGACTTTTAACTTTTCGATGTACAGAGATTAAACATCAAAATAAGTTTCTATTGAAATTAAATAAATCTATTTGAAGTTAACAAGATAAGACATTTAGAGATAATACATTTCTACAGAGAGTCGCTTAACTATAATTTTAAAGTTTAATTTATATCTTTCTCAAATCTTTCTTTTTAAATGTTAATATTAAATGTATGTGCAAATTAATATATATGTATATATGATTTTCTTTCAATTGTTCACATTTTAAGACACAAGTGTATAGCGCTGACACACATATACGTGTGTGCAATATTCCTAGTTATATCTGTATAAATAAAAAAATGCACGCGTACATATACAAAACTGTACAATGGAAACGTACATATATAATCGATGCAAGATTCTCAGCGTGGATTTCGCTTATCGACCGCCATTTTCTCGCCTCTCCGTAGAAACAGAGAATATTCTCGCCGCACAACGTATATTTGATAGTTGCGAGAAATCAATAAAGATATACATATATATTGCAATGTATCGATATTAAAATCCTCAAATTTATACAAGAGAGAGAAGTTCTCTTGTTATTATGTAAATGTAAATTACAAATTTATCTGAAATCTTACTATTTTAAAAATTATCTATTTTCTTGTGACATATTTTTAACATGATCTTTATTTTGCGAAATATCTTGATTTATATACTGTGCGAGAAACTTCCCTTTTCTTAAATAATTTCTTTGTCTGTTACTTTTTTCTCATGTTCCATAAATATAAAATTTACATTTTCTCTATTTTATTGCATGCAAAAATCTTAATTTTTTAATTAACATATTTATAATTCAGACGTTTATTGAATGCCGTAATGAACAAATAGATATAAAAGTATTTTTAATTAAAAGAACAAACAAAATTTAATAAACAGAGAGTTCCATTTAACGTGTAATTCGATAAAACCGATGCTTATTAAAACCAACGCAGTTCATCAAAATAAGATCATTGAGACGTTGTTATCTATGCAAATCTATCTTCCGAAAATTGTTATTTTGTCCCGATGTGTGACAACATCCATGCTGGGCCAAATCCATCGCCAATATTTAGAGACGCGTAAACCGCTGTTCCGCAGCGCGATGAGGGGAGAGGGTGGGAGATTGGCCGTGCGCCAAAACGTCTTATCAATCAATAAAATTTTGCATTATGTAAAAAGGCCGACGATGGTGTCGCGAGGCCACGATCGGTACGTCGCAACGATATAGTAAACAGGCTGATTTACAGAGAAACCGCCGGCATTCCGTCACAAACTGTCTCCGCGATTCCGTGCCAAATAAACGCCTGCTCTCGGACCGCTTATACACGTATCCCGTCGGTTTCTGTCGCGTGTAGAGTGACAGCGTCGTCTTAACAGGCATCGACACACCGTAGCTCGAGGGTAATCCACCAACTTACCCCGAGATGCGCTCTCGTCACACACGAAGACAATTAACTTCGTGTTGCAGCGAAACCGCCCGCGGCGCCAAACCGCTAGTTTCGCCGAATCCGTTGCATCTGTTACAGATATCAAGTAGAACGTGCACTATCTGTATCGCGCATTATATGTATTACACACAGTATATGTATATATAATTCTCCGCAACGTTCCAAGAAATGTTATTTTCTCGAAATTGGGTTTTAAAGACATGTTCGGATTTTTACAATTAAATCAAATGGATCAAGAAAACGTGCGTTTGTTTTCTCGCTATGATCTCTTTTCAATAAAAGAATTATTGAGGCAAAAAGTCACTCATGCTTATGTATTGATTGTATTCTCTAACGATTAATATTAAATATGCCACAATTAATCGTTTATAATCAGTTTCTTCTAGATTTATTAATTGTAAGCGATCTAAAATTAGAAGAATAAAAATTGGCTGCTACATCTGCCGTTATTTAAAAACTGACATTTAACTGAAATTGGAATCGTTTCTGGTTATATTCCTATGTAACGTTTCAAGCGACGCAAATCAATAATGACCTCATTAATATGTTTAATGGATACCACCTACGAAACTCTATCTATAAAACGCGTGAACACATTTTGCAATAAATTTTTCAAATGTATTCGAAATTCCATCGCGCCCTTTCGTTCCTTTTCACCGTCGATGTTACGTATCGAGAATGATTCGCGAGACTAAAATTCTTCACCCGTTTGATTTGCAGGACACACAGATTATCTGAGAGGATGCATGGCTGACATAATCTACAATGGCGCCAAAGTTATAGAATACGCCAGGTCGAGGAAGGGCCAGTCGGAGGCAACAGCCGTAACGTGGGGTTGTTCACCGGAATTCGACGCCACGAGAAGCACGGAAGTCAGCTTCGTCGAGGACGGCGCCTTCGTCGCCATTCCGCGTCCCATTCCGCGCTCCGGTTCAAGGTATATACCAAAAGTACCACTTTCCGTTGTAATGTATATGCTTCCATTTACCATCGCCGCGCACATTTGCAAGATCGCGGTAAACGTAATTAAACTGTCACGACGCAATCTATATCAGCTGTTTCATCTCGATAATGTGTATTCCGATATAAGGGAACAGACGCGACATTCGTATCTCATTAACCTATTACATCAAGGCTGTTATTTTATTTTATTATTATATTATTTTTTCATCGTTTTAACTTTAAATTTATTCGACAATGGTGTAAGTTGAAAAAAAATTTTACAGACATGAAACAAGTTTGAGTCATTTGTCTCTTGTTTTTTGCGTAACATATGTTCCAGTTTTACCGGCGACTCTATCGCGTAAAATAAATACGTTGGTTCACGAATCCAATATCTTATGGTAATGCCGCGGGAAATCCGTTTCACCGAGGTCGGCGGCAGGGTCGCATAACTCGCATTCTCCTGCCTGTATATCTACATCCACGCCGCATTCAAGCCATCGGTCAGAGAAGGCCTTTCATGTTACGCGATTCCTACCACTTTCATCTCTCGCGCAGCTTTTAACAAGCATTAAACCCGTGAGAGCGTTGTTAAATCGTCTCGAAAAGCTCGAAAACAACTGTTTCAATCACGAGAGTTACGGCGACGTAACTCTCGCAACGAGACAAGCAGCAACACTTCGTCAATAGAGACACTTTGATCCCTCTTTTCAATATGGCACAAGGACTTCGAGATGACGACAGTCGATTGACTCGAAAGCTCATAACGATAAAGCTACTTAACGCGAGTAATCGTTTATGGAATTAATGCTATTCATGAAATACACAGAGTTAAAACTTGAGTCATTTATATTATATTATAAATATTTATTATATTATAAATATTATATTATATTATAAATATCGCGGTATAGATACGTAGAGTACAATTTTGTTAGATGATAAATTCATACAGCCTATATAGAGCAATAATTTCAATATGTATAAGCTTTTTTAACACATACAAGTAATAATATAATATTATTAAATTTTAAATCACATGTGTAAAACGGATGACTCGGGAGATTTTAATCTTAATATTAAACGAAAGAAAATGCTTGTTAGAAAGAAAGCTGATTTGGACTATAACTGAAAATACGTACACAGCATGTTTTTCAAAATGAGTTGAAAAGTTTTTGAGACACGTAAGCGCGTCACTTTTTTTTCTCTCCGAGCAAGTATGTGCAAGGATGCATATTGCAAGTTTCCTACGGTAAGATCGCATGCATTACGATTTCGCGGGTCTCCAGTATCTCTCGAAATATCCCAGAATAGAACCACGAATTCTCCTTTGTCTTTATAAATTAAAAGCAACCGAGATGGAGAGCAGCAATGTTTATGTTAAAAAACGTATGTTCATACCGTAAGATGCATATTTCCAACAATATAGCGGAATATATTTCGCTTACAATTTACATTTCAATCTTTTTTTTTTTAGAGGGAAGGGTATTAATCTTCCGCGCAAAATGCAGATTCATTCCATGCTTCATTCGTGCGACCATGGTACGAAAATGCTAAGCACGTCCGAGGAGACTAAAAACCTCGGTGAGCCAAGTATGTCTTCGCTACATTGTCCTCGCGAAAATTATTCAGGAGTGCACTAAGAAGCGGAAAAACGTTTCATTTTCACACGAATGCGGTGTGCATCGGGTAAGCGCAGTTAATACCGGTCTTCATATACACGTGGTTAAGTCCTGGTTGCGCGCACTGTTTCACGTGTCTTGTGGGATCTCGGAGGAGCTTCGGACGTAAATACTCCGGCTCTTTTGTTGTTCCGAATTAAAAGCACACTACTTCCGGGTAGAGTGATTCAACACTTATCTGAGAAAATAAATGTTGGAAACCTGTTGCGTTATTATGTGTATAATCCGACTAAAAGCTAGACAAAGAACACCGGTCCGGTTTTTTACATTAAATGTTTAAAAAAATTGCGACCTCTTTTCTCGCATAGCACGAGTATGCATGATATATGTCTTGTCGATAAAGGAATAAGTAGATAGTCAGGTGGAATCGAGTGGATGACTGGACAATCGTAACTGTCTTCCTTCCACGACTTTCTACGTGAATTCGATGGACCATGAAGATTTCGACACATATAGACATGCGCTCTCAGTGTTCAATTGATTTGAAAGATTCAAATGCCATGTATGCGTATGCTTGCATAAACGTTCAGGTTATCTCTATTCAACCCGATAATTGCAATTTCCGCTTGATCTGTCATCTAATTTATTGATTTTTTAAATTAAAATTATATATGGAGTTATTATATTTAATATATATCAATTATATACAATTATATATCAATTATATACAATGTTCCATTATTTCTATTCCTACATACAATATATCTATGTTGGTATTTAATTTAAATCAATAAAAATTGAAAGAATCAAATGGAAAGATTTCTCAGGGGACATTCCTTTTAATTTCAATCACTGCAATTCTTTGAACGAGTTTTCTTGAAAATCAATTGTCTTTTTGTAAAAGAACGCGCGTAAACTCACGTTACGTTTTCGAAAGCATAGCATCGATTGAACGGCTTAGAAACACAAGCGGACTGTATTAGAACATCCTTAGTGCACCTCCAACATGGTAAACATCTAATTGTGTTTACAATTCGTACAGGTATACACATTTGCTTACAACATTACGAACTATATTGTGTAGTAAAACGCATACTAACATATCGGACATCTTCATTAATTCCGGTTAACACAATTAAACGATAACATAATTCTCGATAATTATGATTCACGAAATAAACTTGGCTTGGAACTTAATTATAATATGTCAAGAGGTAGCATCTCGTGCCAAAAGTATTTATATATTCCAACGTTCATCGAACTTTTTACTACGTTATTACTAAAGAATGATAAACGTGTAAAAAATAAAAGAGTTATAACAATTGTCGTGATATCAACGACACCAAAAAATGAATACATTGAGAATATTTTATTATATGAGGAAATATTGCTATATATTAATATTTTTTATAAAATAATATGCAATGATAACTTTAATATTTCGTCATAGTTGTTATTTTATTATCGCATTCGTCTGTTTTTATAATAAAAGTCTAATCTATAACCACCATTGTATCATTTTGCTATAGTGTTATTTCAAAAGCAATGAATCCGCTCGCTGAAGTAAATAATCGGCTTTCGTATTCGCAACAGTCGCGGCGTCTTCGCGCACAAGATACGAAAATCACTCGTCCCAAAGTTTCTCGAGTAGAAGCCGACCGAGCGAAATTTGATTTGATTACAATTATAAATTCACGGCGAGCAATCTTCTCTTTTCTACCATCATTTGCATTGCCTCGCTTTAACTCGTGTTGCACGAATAATGTTTTGCCCACTTAATCGCGCTTTGCAGTGAAATCTGAATATTGTATCGTCTAAGGAGCGATCATTAAACGAATAATAAAATATACAACTATCTTGCAGAAACAATATTTGTGTAGAAATTTAAATGATGAAATTATCAACAAATTATCAAATTTTCATTTTTTATATTTTCTGTTATATTTTACATCCCTTAGATTTATAGAATTTTGCATATCTTGCCAAGATTTAATTGCAATTCGCTTTTTCAAGAGAGAGTTCGTTATCTTGTTTCATAACGGAATACTATAAATCGACTGTGTTATGCTCGAGCAGTCGATGCATTCGCGAGAGTTTCTCGTTTAATATTTTTACTGCTTCGCTGCATCGATTGTATGTAGCACTTGTGAATCGAAGAAATCAACCGCGAAATTCTAATCCGATTACAAAGATACGCAATAGTATCGAAATTTTCCACTATATTCCACCAACACTGTTTTAGTATCAGCGGCATTATCCAGAAAGGATATTCTCCCCGCTAAGGTATCGTAAAATCGAACGACTCTGATTTGAACTCGGATATCGAACGAGACTGCGATACTTTTTTTTTCTTACAGGATAGTAACGAAGTTTCCTGCCAATCTCTTTTAACGATTCTTTGCAGATGGGAATTCGAGCTGAAGACTAGCGCCGAGAGCGGCTTATTACTCTACAATACCGGGCAGTCATCCTACGCCGATTTCCTCGGTATCGAGCTGTTCGAGGGTAAGATACGATTGCTGATGAACAAGGGAAACGGTCCAACCGAACTAATACATGGCACCGCGGTGGCTGACGGTAAATGGCACAATGTAATCGTGGACTTCAATCCGAGCGGTCTCGGTATCGCCGTCGATCATCACGAGAAAACGATGGCCTTGCCGTCCGGCGGCAATCGTTTTCTCGATCTAGCCGATACCCTGTATATCGGAGGAACGGAGCTGAATAAACGCGCTCGAGTTTTAAACAAGGGTCTCAGATCCGGCGACGTGAGCTACAAAGGCTGCATACGAAATATGATTCTCGACAACAAGGATCTCGGTTTACCGGACGTCAAAGTCAGCCAAGGTATCGTCGTGGGTTGCGTCTGGGGATACCCGTGCGTCGAGGCCGATCCCTGCGTACCTGGTGCGTCGTGCGTGCAGCTGGGCGTCAACTCATTCAAGTGCCACTGCGACCAGTCGCTATGCATCAAATCGAATTACGCCGAGGATTACAAGGTAGATCAATTTTAATCGAATTTCAATGACGCTCTATCTACTTGGCGAGGGTTACGTTGCGGTTGCGAGTTAATTATATCACCGGCAGCTAACGTATGGATTTATGCATGACTAATTTAATCAAGGTGCTATATAAATGATTTTTTAAACGATTATTACTTGTGTAATCACAGTACGAGATGTTTAACTTTAGCCTTATAAATTTTATCGGGATATTTAATACTGAAGATCGAACGCATTAAATCTTGCTAATATTTAGATAAGACTCGCAATAGAATAAAGAGACGATATGGCGCTTTTGCAGATCTATTCGAATGCCACCCTGCCTGTAAACTTAGAAATTCTTTCGCTGAGTCCTCTGCTAGTTTCCGAGGGGGAGCACGTGCTAATAACGAATGAAAACATCGCGATGGTATTGGACATTGCTAAATACGGCGTGGAAGAAACCGGTGTCGTATTTACTCTGGTGACACCGCCAGTTTACGGAACACTGGCATTAGATGTTCTAACATCCCGAAGCGATCACTCCTTCACGTTGCAAGATATCAATCAAGATAAGGTAATCGGCCAGCGATCAATTTATCAAATTCTCGAATTAACGGTACGTTACACCGAGAACTCCTCGACCCGACGTAAGTCCGGCGAGCGCGATATTAGTGTCCATCTGTCGGTTACACGTGTGACGATAAAGCACGAAATCGCCGAGGAGTTTGCGGGGACATGTGTAAGAGGCGAAACTCGGTCGGCGTGCACCTGACATTAATTAATATCAGGTGACTAAATGCAGCTCCGAGAGGTCGGTCGATCCCTATAGACCGTAGAAGGCGTCGTGGAAAGTCATATGTTCTTCCAGTTCGTCATAGGACCACGCGCTGCTATACATAGCACACGCCACAAGGACTAACTTTAGAATCGTTGATGGCGGGAACATGGAGGGTCGACCGACTTGCCGTTCGCTCGCGCCTACTCCTCCACTACTCCACACTCAATTTATCTGGCGACAGTGCTCTATTTATAAACTCATCCGCCATCACTCATTAATGGTTTTTCGTTAGAGATCACGTATCGTTTTTTATCCACCATCGCGCTCACTCGCTTGCCGTTACTGCCAATTGCTTTCTAATCGTTAAAAGAAAAAGGGGGGAAAAAGCTCGCATCTTCTCTCTGTCTCGACTCTCGGATCGACGCCGGGGACGACGCCCACTCGATATGCTAATCGACGACCACCGACTTAACCCCGGTCGCTCTAATTAATTTCAACCGCGGTCGATCTCGAGTGTTAGATCAAACGCCAGAAAGGATAACACGAGTCGGGTGCTCCGATGTACTCGCCCATGATTAATTCTGATTCCGTAGCACGACATAGTGTGTTTGCCGCTCGAGATTCTCATAGAACGGAGGCTACCGCAAGTTAAAGTCCACGCTCCTCGTAACGTTGTCTCTTACTGATGTTGCGATACATGACATTACTGGCACTTACGCCATTTCTTTCATATGTAAATTTACACTGCGGAACAGTGCAAACGTAAGAATCGCATTAACGCATCGCATCTTACGATTTAGAGAGATATTGAAGAAAAGTTTAAGTTTTCTCTAAATTAATTTTCCTATTGTTATGAGAGAAGCCTGCGTTACATTAGGTAGGATGTTGATAACATTATCCTTATTATAATTGACTTGTTCCGACAGATACAGTACATGCATGACGGTAGCGAAACCACAGAGGACAGCATGATTCTGGAATTGACATTGGTGGCCGGGACAGGCTATACTCTCCCAGGATATCTCCAAGGACACCTCAGATTCCCTCTTCACGTCAATGTCACACCCGTCAACGATCCGCCGTTGCTCGAGATACCGACCGCAAAAGTACTGCGTCTGGCCCAAGTAAGGCACGAACATAAATTGTATATTTCCTTTAATTTCCTTTTTTCTGGCTTAGTTTTTCAAGACGTTTCGAGACGCTTATCACGCGAATGAATTTTTTTCTCGCCGTACTAATTCGGAGCACGTTGCGTCCGATTTGACCGAAACAAAACCGTCAGTTCACGCTACTCAACTAAATCAATTAATGGGGGCCGAATGAAATAGTAGCTTACTTGTGGCTCGTGCATCTTCGTAGAACGTGGCAATTTAGCCGCAGCGAAATCGATTTAACTCGCTCGCGTTCTCGGTCATCGCTCTTAATTAACCGCACGTATAAGTTCGAGAGTATGCGTGCACGTATATCATGTATGCGCATAACGAATGCTTCTTTCATATATCATATGGATGCATATTCTCGGAACAGGAATAATCGCGATATGAAGACAGAAATTGTAATTACGATTGTAATTTGCGGTGAATTAATCTCATCTACGTCGAGCTGGTCCCGATACTGCTAACAATACTACAATTATTTCAGGAAATACTGAAATTCTAGTAAATATAATTTTAACTATATTAACTCTCCGAATATCACACATGTATATTATACATAGATTTCACTCGTAAAAATAGATAAGCAATATATATGGATTGATAAAAAAACATGTTAGATATTTCTTAATAATATAAAAATAAAAACAAAATCTTTAATATCCATATTGATTCATCTTTTTCAATTCTCCGATTACAAAAAACTGATTGTTATATAAATTGAGATGTATATTCGCTATTTCGCTTGATGTGTTTTATGTCAGTGCGAAAACAACGGCGCAGTTTTTCATCGATTCACCGCGTCCTTTCATTCAGTATGCCTATACAATATGCATTCGTCGAACGTGATTTCATCAAATATAAAATATGCGAAAAACGCTGATATTCGCAGGGCACAAGAAAAACACTGACTAAGGAATTAATATGGGCTATAGACGCCGACACTCCGTCGGAAATGCTGATCTATACAGTTTTACGAGCGGATACCGACGCTGGACACATCGAGAGAGTTACTTATCCGTTTCGACCTATCGACACGTTCACACAGGCTGAATTAATGCAAGGCCTCATTGCCTATGTGCATCGTGGGAACGGTAATGGATTATAATTGCAAAAGCATGCTATATTTTTTTAATTTGATAAGCCTTTAACGATGATTAAATGACATTTTATTTGTCTTCTTGTGTCTCTTACGCGATTATTTTTTTTTTATTTCTAATATATATATATAAATATAATGTAGCGTTATATCTCGTCGAGATTTTTTATCGATGTAATATATTTAATCTTTCAGCCAAACCGAATGCAATGTTGGGCTTACAAGTGAGCGACGGCGTCGAGAGTAGTCAGCCCGCGTATCTGCGCGTATCGGCTTATCCGTTGCAAATTAAATTGACACACAATACCGGTCTCGTTGTGGTGCATCGTTCATTCTCTTACCTGACACCGGCAAATCTCTCGTTCGCCACGAATTCGGACGACAATACCATCGATATCCGTTACGATATCGTTTCACCACCACATTACGGTGTTTTACAAAAATTGAGGGACATCTCCAATAGCTGGATGAACGTCGAGCACTTTACCAGTCGGGATATGGAAATGAACACTATTCGTTATCTTCATAATGTCGGTAGTCCTAATCAGGACGAATTTAAATTCCAAGCGAGCGTGCGCGAAGTGAAGACGCAGCAAATGTACGACTTCCGTATTACCTTCATCGATCTTGAGCTGAAGGAAACCAGAAGGATGCCTCTTAATCTCACCGATGTGTCGAACGTTATTATTACGAGCAACCACTTGAAGTACCAGACAAATCCACTAGTTACATCGCCAAATAAGATAGTCTTTACTCTTACAACGGGACCAAAATACGGCGATCTATTTCTGTCCGATCGTAAACTCGCGACAGCTAGTACTTTTACGCAAGAGGACATCGAGGCTGGTAGATTAAACTATCGTCTATTCAGACGATCTTATTCCGAGATCTTCGACGAAATAATGTTCAAAGTTAATGCACCTCAATGCGTCGACATATACGCCAACTTGAAATTCCGATATTATCTCGGCAAGAACAGCAAACCGCTGGAGGGCGTGGAGAATTTGAAAGTTGACGAAGGCTCGAAAGTACCTCTGAGGATCACGCATGTGAATCCCAAGGAGTATGGTGTAGCCTCTTTGATGTACAATCTTACAATAAAACCGAATCATGGTTGGCTCTCCATCGCGAATAGCTCAAGATCACAAGGACAAAAGAACGTCTCGTCTTTTACATTCGAAGATGTATTGACACAAACGGTATATTACGTGCATGATGATTCCGAAACGAAAGAGGACTCCTTTGAATTTGTGGCGATATCTCTGGATTCCGTCGACTTTATGTACGTCGGAAAGTTTCGAATTGAAATCATTATGAAAAATGACAATCCGCCGGAGCGAACAATTGATAGAATCTTTCATGTTGTATCAAAAGGAGAAAAATTGATAACGAATAAGGATCTCGCTTACATAGACAAAGATATTGATACTCAAACGAGCGAACTTATTTATACTAGAAGAGATGCTCGGAAGAGCGGAATATATAGGGTGACTAATCCTTCGGTACAGATACGCAAATTCTCGCAACAGGACATCGACGACGGTATGATACTTTTCCGTCACCAAGGGGATGAACGTGAAAAAATTGAATTCGATATCACCGATGGTCATTTTTACAGGATCGGCGCTCTTGAAATTCAAGCTAGTCCACCTTATATCAAGTTGCACAAAAGTAACGATTTAATTGTCCAATTTAATAAATCTGTGGTGCTCCGATCGAAAGAACTTGAGATAGAAACAAATGTATACACCACAGAAAAAGATATTAAATACAATGTATGGGAGAGACCGAAGCATGGTATATTGCTAAAGAATAATAGAGAGTCGAATAGTTTCACAGAGGATGATTTAAAGCATGGTATTGTATCATACAAACATCTAGGTAGTTCCTTGACACAAGACAGCTTCAGATTTAAGGTGTTTGCTAAAAACGCGGAAGCTGACGGTACGTTCGTGATCAAAGTCTATCCGGAGAGTTATTGGGAATCGTTGATCATTCAAAACAACGAAACGATATTCGTCGAGGAGGCTACGAGTATCCTGCTAAGTCGAAAGAGCCTCGAGATAATGCATCCTAAAATATCGCCGACCGAAATCGTTTATTTCGTACGAGAATGGCCGCAGAATGGCTATCTCGATTTGCAAGCTCATGACGAACACAGTGAGGAGATGAAGGAAGAATATAGCGGAAACACGGTAAAACAGTTCGAGCAGAGTCTGATAAACGAGGGTTGCGTCTTCTACGTTCAATCGGTGATTAATCAGACGAGCGATCGTTTCATGGTAGATGTTACCAATGGTATCACATGGTTACGAGGTTTAAGTGTGAATTTTGTGATCGTGCCGGAAAAACTCTATGTCGAGGCGAAGAGTTTCACCGTCGTAGAAGGCAAGAGCGTGATGCTAAACGAATCTGACTTCTCGGTCGTGACGCCGTATTACGCCGGCAAAATGACGGATTACAGGATAACGGAGAAGCCGCGACACGGAACGATTCTTGACTCCACGAAGAATACTCAAGTGAAAAAATTCTCGCAGAAGCACTTGAATGCCGGAATTATATTATACAAGCATAACGGAGACGAATTTTCGAAGGATTCCTTCAGAATGATTGTCACCGCTGGTGATAAGATAAGTGAGCCGTTTGACGTATCGATCGTTGTTCAGCCTGTTAACGACGAAGTTCCTGTACTGGTGAACAAAACTAAGCTTAACGTTTGGCAAGGTGGATCTATTATCTTGACGTCGACAAACTTGGCGGCTATCGACAATGACACCGCCCCGAACGATATAATATTCAATGTTACTGGGGTGAGGAACGGATATATCTCGTTGATCACTGCACCCGAGGTGGACATCTATACTTTCACACAGAGTCAAATTAACGAATCGCAAGTGATGTTTACACATACGAGTGAGTATACAATATTCAGAAATTAATTGTAAATTGGAACACTTTTATGATTATATAAACATAATGTAAAATACTGTAATTAGTACTATAATTAACTGATAATTATGAAATTAATTTTGAATAATAAAAATAATTACTTAATTTGATATTAAAATGTACGAAATAATGCATAACGATTTTTTAATTATTTATGATAATTATGGAATTTATTTTTATTATATAATGGAAATTATTTCAGGAAGTCAAGATAATATATCAAAATTCTAATTAATAAAATTGCAATCTTTTACAACACAAGATTAACACAAGATTTAATACGAAAAAGTGTAATGTATGTAAAAATGTGTAATGTATTTTTCAGACGGATCTGATGGAGAATTTAACTTCGTATTAAGCGATGGCGTACACACGACGGAATTTTACACAATCTTAATTACGACAAAGCCAGTTCGTTTAAATATTGAACACAATATGCCCCTTAATGTCTTTCCTCTTACTAAGAAATTAATATCAGACAAGCTCTTATTAACGACGTGTTCCGACGAAGCGAGGGAGATTAGATACATTGTGCGAAACGGACCCCATTTAGGCAAAGTTATAATGGAGACAAGTGAAGGGATATGGCTTGAGGTCGAGCGATTTACTCAGAAAGATATAAACAATAGTAAAGTGATTTATGAGCATACCAAGCAGTTCATGGACCTAGCGGCCAATGACTCTTTCATATTTGACATCGAAACGCACTCCGCTGGAACTATAACAAGTCAGGTATAGAAAAAATATATAACTAAATATTTAATTTTTATGGTCCATAAAGTATCTTATTTTCAATTAGCGTATCTTGTGATTTTATAAATTGCGAAAAATATTATTTATATGCTTTCAATAAGTTAAGAAATTTAATATTTTTAATAACTTTTAATGAAAGACTGCAATGTTTATCTCGATTTTATGTAATTATTTACTTTTACAACAATGTTTTTATATATCGCAGATTTTCCAAATAAATATATCAGTTTCGAGCGGTGGCCTGGACCGATATATCTTTGTGAAAAACGTCAGAGTTGTGGAGGGTGGTTCCGCCGAAGTCGTCATGAACATTAGCGGCATCGTATCATATCTACAGATCAACGCTGGGATCGAGAAGCCGGCAGTATTATCAAAATTAGTTCACCAGCCTAGTCACGGACATGTGATGCTTTTGCCGGATTTGAATGTGACTACTTTCATGCAAACGCAGGTCGAGGGCGGGAAAATCGCTTATTATCACGATCATTCAGATACTCTAGAAGATCGCATTTATTTCACGTTGTATTTAACACCCGGTCACGTGTTACTTTGCAACATCAGTGTTCCCGTTATTATCGAGCCAATTAACGATCAGCCTTTCAGACTCGTCACCAATACTCCACACATTATGGTCGTGCAGAATCAAAACCAGACCATTACTCGGGAAAATCTTTTAACCATCGATCCCGATACTCCACCGCAGGATATTACGTATGACGTGATTACAGGACCGACGTTCGGCAGATTACTGCTGTTACCTTTCGACCAGAATATATCAGAAGTACGCCAAGTGGAGAAGTTCACCCAGTACGACGTGGATTCCAATCGAGTAGTATACGAGCATAATGGAACGTTGCAGGCCGCTTCTTTCTACTTCAGAGTCTGGGACGGTGGTTACAGTCCGATTTATACCGTCTTCAACGTTCACGTTTTACCTATACGACTGAATGTGACGGTGCTCGGTCCGGTGCGTTTGCAGCAAGGTTCGAACGTGGCGCCCATTTCAGAAAACGACATAAAACTCGATACGAATGCACGTCAGGATCTAGTGATCTACGAGATTACGACACATCCGAAGTGCGGAGTATTATACGTGCGAGATGGTGCCGCGGCAATGTTCAAGCAGAGCGATCTACTATCAAAAAGCGTAGTGTTTATGCAGACGAATATGACGGTGCCAAATGACAGTTTGGAGTTGTCAGCGCGACTAAGCGGTTTCGTACAAAAACATATACGTGTCGAGATCAAAGTTACGCCTCTCATTATCATGAATCCGTTGACGGCATTAGCGAGTGAAAAGACTCGAATATCTTTGTATCATCTAGACGCAACTCCCCTGGCGAAGTTAACGACGAGCAATCCATTGTACACTATCGTAAGAAAACCGAAGTTTGCCAAGATCAAAAGAATTATCAGAAGCTCCTCGTCGTCCGGCGAGAAGAGAGGTACGCGCGAACGAGAGGTGAATCGTTTCTCGCACCAGGAGATTATCTCCGGAGTGATATATCTGGTATGCAGAAAAATACCATCGATAGACGGCGTCTCGGATAGTTTCAGTTTCATTCTTGCGGCTTCCATCTTCCAGCCAGCCGTGGGTGACTTCGAATTCCGTATCAAGCTCGACATCGACGACGATAACATCACCTTAGGCGGTCCTATGGATCCGGTCAGTCGCGAGGGCGAGATGGCGATCGCACCGAATATGAGCAATGATTATCTTCTGATTCTCGGCATGTTGCTCGGCGTGTTTCTTCTCGGCGTGGTTGTAATTATTACGATCAGATGCCGGCATAACAGATACAAACACGCTGAAGAAGAGAAACCGGAAACCACTCCCGCTGTTGGCGTGATGCCGCTTCCCAGACCGCCGGATCATCTGATGCCTGCTACTCCGCATTTGAAGCCTTTCGGTAACGATCACAATAGTGTAACAGCCAGCACACCTTTGCCAGTGTTGCCCTCAACGTTACCACAATGTAAAGTGATACCCTTGAGTCCTCTGGAAAGCGGCTCAGAAATCGACGTATCCGCCAGATATCCCTATGGGGTGGCGGATGGCGACGAATGGAGTAGCTTCGACACTTCCGATCTACCTTGCCAGTCGGCCACAACTCAAAGGACCAAGAAGAACCCGTTGCTGAGGAGGGACCAATACTGGGTCTAGCAGGAAAGAAACACGTTGCGGTTTACGCGAAAAAAACCGTAGCGTCTCCTGGCGTGTTTTATGCGAGAATCGAGACTATCGTGGATATCACGGACTTAATGTGCCTAAGGAAAGTGAAATCTACGACAGAATTTATGGAAATCGCTCGTCGGGATTTGAGATTATCGCGCCAGACATATATACGTCGAGTAATAGTGAGATGACGTTCGATGCTGTGGCGAGAATTTAGTGATGTTGGCATGTGTTTCGGTGCATCCGATTATAATTGAAAAAAGGCGAAGAAACTCCTTGATTGTGTAGGAAATTTACGGATCGAAAACGATCGAGAATTATCGGTAATTCCCGATGCGGAATAGTTCGCAGTGTCTCGTGTATTATTAGCCTAAAACGATATAAACAGGAAGCTAAATCTCCTTGAATGTCACGACTATCGCCGCTATCACGAGCTCAATGTGCCTGAAAGATGTCTGACTCTGCTGACATTTTTTCCACTAATCACAACGTCGATTTTTCGTATATCTATTCTATGACCCTTCCTTCCGGCGGATCGAAATAAATTTAATCATTAAAAAAGCAGAATGATTATTCATTAAAGACTTTTGCAATCAATTCAATCTTGATCTAAGAATAAGATCCGTCGATTTACTGGCTCGTTTTAGAGTGCAGACTTTTAGAAAAATACATATGACCACTTTTATGTTCTTTCCTCTCCTTCCATTTTTACACTTTTTGTAAATTTAGATCAATAAGATTGTTATAAGAATGGCATTTATCGATTTTTGCTGTCGTAAATTTCAGGTAAAATCGAAGTATTAAGGCTTAAAAAAAGGCGGAACTTTCGCTCTGTCTTAAGTTATACAAAGAAAATAGAAACGAGTAATCAGGATAATACAAGAATTTTTGTGACACTGTATGATAAGACGATCAAATGCGCACAATGTAATCGAGCGCTTGTATGTTCCTGTTACTTGTCACTTGACGCAAATGAATGCATTTATACTAACTGTACTCGAGTTTGTGTGGACATATCCTTTTATACCGCCATATATTGTCCAAGTTAAACTTTTTTATTTCTCTCCAATATGGATCTCACATACGGTCATTTTATTCCATCGTTATTCCGACTATTTCGATGTTGCTCGTACTATGCAAGTAAATATAAAATACTAGTTAATATTTGTTCGAAATGTAAAAAAAATCGAATCGCCGCAACAATCTTTTTGTGACAACGTAATATTGCGCATTTTAGCTTTATGTGGTGAAATACATTGAATTATTTCTTTGTATGGACGTATATATATATATATATATACATACATACTTATTTCAGTAAGAATATGTTGTACAGCAGATAAAAAAATTGTATCGAATAATTGTCATAAATTAGATAATAGATCAAGCAATTATTAATTGATAGCGTTATTTCCGCGAATCACTTTTTGCAACATTTTTCTCATCGCGACGATTATCTTTAAATTACATAGAATCGTGTACGAAATTTTTACAATTCTTCTCTGTTTTGTCTTTATAGTGAACAATAGATTATTAGGCGACACTAAATAATATAATTATTTAACGTATCTTAAACGCGAATTATTAGTAATACTCGAAATCTATAAGCCGTTTTTTATACGAGTACGAGAGTAGATCTTTTCTACTATGAAACGTTGACGCGCGGCGAGTTCGTAATTCATAAGCGATGAACGGGGTTGTGCGTAAGCGGTTTCATCTGAGAGAAATTTATTAACGAAGGGGTATGTTGACGAATTTGTTGATTTTAAAAAGAATTTTACGTTACGTTGCTCTTGCGGAAACTGACGGTAACCTAAATAGATCCGCTTCCGGCCAATGTCGAGTGTAAATATTATAGAACCGCACTATAAAAAAAAGTCTTCATTTATCAAAAAAACTAAGTACAGAGAAAAATTAAGGAGATAATTGACTTGATTAATTGAAACGCGTTAGATTCTGTTATAAGATAAAAATTATATGTCAATGATATAAACAAAAATATAATATTATATAATATAATATTATATAATATAATATATAATATAATATTATATAATATAATATAATATAAAAATATAATGTAATATTAATATTATCAATGTTAATCAAATTATATAAATGAATCAGATTGAATAAACAGTAAAATTTATAATTCATGTAAACTAATAGGATTGTTCTCTTATATTATAAAATTATGCGGTCGTATAATATCTTCTATATATTAATAATAACAATAAAAATCAAAAAAAGGCAGCGGTCTCTTTATCGAAAGATCTCTTGTTAAATCTAAATCTACGTCATGCCTTTTTACTTTATTTTGTTATTAATAATTTAAAGCCTCGTTTCGTTCAGAGAAAAGAGATTTATTGGCCCATTAATTGTAAAACTACGATATATTAACGATATATAAGAATAAATTTATAGTACTTTTTCGCGGTAACTCAAGCATATGTCTGGCCGAAAGTGGATTAACGGCAATTCCCTAAATCTTAGAAGCGTATCTAATAAAACAGTTTAACGTGAATGTTGATTATAGCGATCATAATGATATATATGATATATATTATAATGCGTACACTACTACGTAGAATGTACCGTTCCATGGATTTATATAACATATACATTAATAGATTCTAATTAAAGACGTTTTACCGAGAGAGACAGAAAGAGACACCCGTTCGTTGATTCATGAATATGCTACAGACGAACCGTTAGGCTTTTTTACATCCACCAAAAATGAACTGATCTGAGTGCCAAACTTCTATAATCTATAATATGTAATTATCATAGGACTGTATTTTCCCTGCCGACTGAATGCATTACTCTTCTAATTCTAATAAATTGAATGTGCGATGTTAAGTAAACACGGTCTAGTTATTATTTATCATATCATAATCACTAACTCTATTAATTTTAATCTATTTACTTTCTATTGTTTATATCTCTAATTTATATCTCTATTAATTATAATCTACTCGTATTTACTTTCTATTGTTTATATTTTATTATTAATTACTGATTACATTACTGATATATTTTAAACAAATACATTTTATATGCATTTTTGCATTTCATATTTATATCCTTTTTATTTTATTAATATGCAGATATAATTAAAAATATAAAAATCTATTTAAAATATGTAAGTACATAATAAATAAAGATGCCTTTAGAAATATCTTTTTTTCATTTAATTATATACAATTTAGATATTTATTAAATAATAAAAAATTATATATATATATATATATATATCTTTGTTAATGATATCAGTAATCTCTTACAGTAAGCTTTTATTTATATTATTTAGTGTCTATTTAATAAATAATAAATAATTTTGTAATCTATTCTCTTTAGACAAATTAAAAAAAATAATTGTAGAAAGCAATGCGAAAGATTTGTAGATGAAATAAGTTATTTTCTCCAGAATAAATTAAAAAAACAAAATTTTAAAATGTATACTTCATAATTTTCTCCATCGCATTAATAGAGTAAATAAAACAATAAAACAACTTTCGACAGTTGTGATAATTTTTTTCATTTAAAATTTATTGAAAAATAAACTTACCGAAAAATGCCTCTTTCCATCTTGGAATCCTGACGTAAAATTATTGGGATGTGAGCATTGCGATGTCAATATCGGGATATCAGTGGGATAATGTCTTTCAGAAATCTGTTAAACACAAATTATATGTATTACATTATGCATATATAGACACAATAGCTATAATAAACATATTGGAAAACAAAAACAGCAGTAATTGTATTTACGCGCAAACTCTTTTTAATGTTTATTAAATCAAATATAATAATTTCTTCGTAAAAAAAATACAAAAATATATATTGATTTAAATAATAATGATTTAATTAATAATAGAATGACAAAATGTATATACCTGAAGATAATTGTACCATCATAAATTTTCAAACTTCCCGCTTCAACGAGAAAATAACAGCACGAAACACACACGAAGGAGATTACGATCGCGTATGTGATTTCGCAAACACACAGACGCAAATTGTCGATCTCAAAATTGCGATGCAAATTGACTGATATAATAGTGATTACACAATTACGATGAATGTGTACTTTACTTTGAAAATTGTTTGTGCGCGAAATTTGCCTATAAACAATAATAACCGCGAAAGAATACAGAGCGATCCATCGACATGTTTTATGACCGACTGCGATTCGAAATATCACATTATTATTTTTGGTAAAACGGTAGATAACGATTGCACATCTCACTATACACTTTGTACTTATTAAAAAGAGTACTTTATTCGCGACACTTTCAATAATTCTTTGCAATTCCACACTTACTTTTAAACGATAATATTCGCGAGAAATATACGACGCGATCCGAAAACGACCTCGCCATCCGCCGCGTCACGATTGATCGTGAATTTAGTAGCAAAGAGCGATATTGCGATTCTCGAAATGGAAACTATCGAAGTATCGAAGCCGCACATACTTCTCCGTGAAAATAATTTATAAATAATAATGGCGTCATGTATATAGAAAACGTTCCGATATTAAAATACTATATAAAATCGCAAACGACACGCTAGAGATTAATCTCTCGATATAAAGGCACGATATAAAAATGCGATAAGAACAAGAAATGTATGTTAAAAAATTCGTAAACAACAGAAAGCAACTCGGATATCAGATCTCAGATATCTCGATAAAATTGATTTTTATCAAAAGGTAGGGTTATAGATCATTGAAAAAGATTGCGCTTTTTAATAATCGATATCATAATATTCTTTTCTGGATAAAAATTCCCGTAAATGTATTAGAAAATGATTTATCATAGATACCTTTAAACAGAAACAGAATTATGCAAATGAGAATTATAAAATTAGCGTGTGCGAAATTGCGTGAATTCGACAAAGGCCAGGCTTCTCTCTGCAAAGAAGCACGTCACGCCATCTGTAAAATCAATCATGCACGATATCACGAGAGTTAGCATGAAAGTGATATAACAATAATTCTTCTCAAATATGGCTTCATATAGGCGGTAAGTTAATTATTTTCGGCTTTTTAATCTTTATGCGATGAAGAATTTATCTCAAGTATATATAAATCATCTGTTTGAGTCGTTTTCAATTGACATAGCAATTTCGTCTGGTTTTTTAAGTCTGATTTCATGGATTTCTATCGTTGGTTAATATCTATATGTCTACGTGTCTCTTCTCGCACTATCTTATTTATGAAATAGATGCTTTTATTCAATGAATTTATCGCGTCGTGTCGGTCGCGGACTTAATCTAATCTGTCGCCGAACGAATATGATATTGACACTTATATAGGATGGAATTTCACAATTTTACGTCATTACTGCTATATAATCTGTTGTGCGGTCGCATTTCCGGCAGTATTTCATCTAAAAAATCCAGTTTAATTTAAAATAGTACATACAATGTAATGCTCGCCGATAAACATAATTTATTTTTATAATATCTAAGATTTATGTAAAGTATATTCTATTATATTTTAACAAGTGTTTAATTTATTTTGTGCTTTAAACTTTTCAGGTTAGCCCCATTTTTAATATTACTGTGTACTCCATTCCTTGTCGACGCAGTTATCAGAGACAATTTTAAGAGATGCGATCAAAGCAGTTTTTGCCAGTAAGAATTAATCATTTTTGCAGATATTGTCATTTAAAAGACAGATATAAATTTTGTTTTATTTCTTATAGACGGTGCAGGAAAGTAGAGCCTGGAAAAACACCATATCAGCTTTTACCAGATACACTTATACAGAATGAATCTATGATTACCATAGACCTATTTAATAAAGATACAGGTGTCTTCTACGTGGTACAATTTACCTCATTGAAAGAGAGTACATTTAGATTGCACATCAATGAAAAGAATCCACTGCATCCTAGATACGAAAATGAATATGCTCTTCAAGATCAGCCACAAATAATAAAATTGGATTCTGTGGAAAAAACAACTGAAAGTATAACTGTAGTAAAGGGTGAAAACAAAGCTATTTTAAATGTTAATCCATTTAAAATAGATCTATACTCTAAAGGTGTTTTAACAATATCAGCAAATGCTCGTGGTCTTATGAGATTTGAACATTTACGTACAAAGCCAGTAAGGTATTTAGTGTTAGAGGACAATTATTGCACTAAAAGCTTATATAGAATAATAAGTTATATATATATATATATATATATATATATATATATATAACTTATAATATAATAAGTTTTATATATATATATATATTGCTATTCTATTATAGAGAACCAGAACAAAGTGAAAATGCTGAAACTGTGGAAAAAAATAATACCACATATCCTGGTGATGGCGCTGATAATGATCCTGGTGCTTGGGAAGAAAACTTCAAGGAGCATCATGATACAAAGCCATTTGGTCCCGAAGCTGTTGCTATGGATTTCAGTTTTCCTGGATCAGAACATGCTTATGGTATACCAGAACATGCTGATTCGTTAGCATTACGATCAACTAAATCTAGCGATCCATATAGACTTTACAATCTAGATGTATTTGAATATGAAACAAACGAACGTATGGCTTTGTATGGTGCAATCCCAGTTCTTTATGCTCATGGGTAAGAATCTATTAAATAAATTCATAACCTTTAAGAAATTCATAATTTCTAAGAAATTTATTTGCATTAATATATTTCAGAAAGGAAAGATCATCAGGTGTCTTTTGGCATAATACTGCAGAAACTTGGATTGACATTTTGTCGAGTGCAGACAACAATGTTGTAGAAAGCATTGTTAATTTTGTATCTGGATCTACTAAGAAATTCCAGGTAGATGCTCATTTTATGTCAGAATCTGGAGTAATTGATGTATTCTTTATGTTAGGTCCAAAACCACTTGATGTTCTTAAACAATACACTGTTCTGACTGGCACAGCTCCCTTACCACAGGTAAATGAAATAAACATTGTAAAAATTCCTTTAAGCTCTGTTATAAGTGAAATATTCTAAACTTAAAATTTTTGTTGATATTTATTTTAGATGTTTGCTCTTGGATATCATCAAAGCCGTTGGAATTACAATGATCAGGATGACGTTGCAACAATCGCTGAAAGTTTCGATACATATGATTTGCCATTAGAAGTTATATGGCTTGATATTGAATATACCGATAACAAAAAATATTTTACGTGGGATTCACGTAAATTTCCAAATCCTGTTGAAATGGTACACAATCTTACTGCTAAAGGCAGAAAATTAGTGGTTATCATCGATCCCCATATTAAACGCGACAGTAATTACTTTTTACATAATGATGCAACCAATTTGGGTTATTATATTAAAAACAAAGATGGAAAAGATTACGAGGGTTGGTGTTGGCCAGGAGCTTCATCATATTTGGACTTTTTCGATCCAAAAGTTATTGAGTACTATGTTGGCTTGTATAGTTTAGATAAATTTCATGGTACCACTAATGACGTTTATATTTGGAATGACATGAATGAACCAAGTGTGTTTAATGGGCCCGAAATAACTGCACTAAAGGATCTTGTCCACCATGGAGGTTGGGAACACAGAGATGTTCATAATATTAATGGACATATGTACATCCGTGCGACATACGAAGCTTTATTCCGACGATCAGGCGGTTACTTGAGACCTTTTATTTTAACGAGAGCCTTTTTTGCTGGTTCGCAACGCTATGCAACAATGTGGACTGGCGATAATATGGCTGAGTGGAGTCATCTACGTATAAGTTATCCAATGTGTCTTTCGGTTGCTATATCAGGAATGTCGTTATGTGGTGCCGACGTGGGAGGCTTCTTTAAAAATCCAGATTCCGAATTGTTCATTAGATGGTATCAAGCTGCGGTATGGCTACCTTTCTTCCGTCAGCATTCTCATATCGAGACGAAAAGACGCGAGCCATGGACATTCAATGAAGAAACTACTCAAATAGTTCGCGAAGCGCTAAGATTGCGATACTCTTATCTACCATTATGGTACACGCTCTTTAGAGAGCACGAAATAAACGGCTTACCCGTTATACGTCCTCTATGGGTGAACTATCCATCGGAATCGGAGACATTTACTATTGATGATCATTTGCAACTTGGTGATTCTCTACTTGTACGCCCAGTGTTCCAGTCTGGTGCTACTGAAGTAGCAGTTTACTTCCCAGGAGAAAACAAAGTAACTTGGTATGATATCGATACAATGCAGCCCTATCAAAAGGCTGGCTACGTTAAAATACCAGTAACGATCTACAAGATCCCTGTATTCCAAAAAAGTGGTTCTATCGTTCCACGAAAAATGAGGATACGACGTAGTACAGTTGCTATGAAAGATGATCCCTACACATTGATAATAATCACTGATAGTAATGGCAAAGCTAGCGGTAATCTTTATATCGATGATGAAATTAGCTTTGAATATCGTCATGGAAAGTATTTATATTTAAGAATAACATTGGACAACAATAAAATAACTTCAACTCTAATAGATAAACTAGCTTCATATGAAACACAAAGCTGGTTAGAAAGAATAGACATAGCCAATCCACCTCAAGGAATTAAGTCTGCCCAATTGGAATCTCACAGTGAGTAATCAGATTTAGTATAATAATACAATTGTATAACAAAATCTATATATCAATAACATATATGTATATTTTTTATAGGCATGGGAAAAATAACTTTGGAAACTACATATAATCCACATAACAATGTATTAACAATACGTAAACCAGCTGTAAATATGGGGGAAGAATGGACTATTGAATTATTACATTAGGATTATGATGGATTCATAATCAACTTTCAGTAATCTATACAATAATGCCAATTTTCTATTACTATATGAGGATTATGTTTCAGTTATCTGTGATTTGGATAATTATATTTCCTAGAACAATAAAAATATAACTCAACTACATCATGAGAATAAAATAATTTTTATTAATTAATAATTACTATAAATTTTTTTTGCAAAATTTAATATTTGTAGCATTTTACAACACATGTACAATCAAGCAGCATAATAGTAGTTGGAAGATGTTCATATAGATGTCATTCTATGCAATTTTATTTTCTATGATTTAATTGGAAATATAAAGATTAATATTTCAGAGATTGCTGTGGTAAAAAATGTTAGATTTCAAAAAAGTTAATATATTTTAGAAACATTACCACGCACCAGTTATCAAAATCTGCCATCTTTGTTAAAAATTTATCTACTGAATTAACAAGTGTAGGTTTTGAAT